AGGGCCTTGGAATTTTCCAGTCTGCTTTCACTTTGGGCTGAGGTCAGCTGGCATGGTTTCGATACTTCGGTTGTACGTGACAAGGAGTAGGGTCTCCTGTACAACCTCGTAGGTTTTCTCCGGGTCCATCCAATTGCTAAAGAGCCCTACGCGCAAGCAAATTAACAAAGTAAAATTGAAGCATATGTTAGTCCCAAAATGACCTAGTTTATGTTGAGTGGATGTTAAATCCTCTCTCTCTCTCTCTTTCGACTGAACTAGAGCTAGAGAGCTGGGTTGTCGAAACCAGTAATAAAGTGATCATAGATAAAGATTGATTGTCTTTGTTTTTATATTAAATGTCATTTATAATAATTTTAACTATCAGTGACAAGTGAGATTGACAAGTTTTAATTGAGCCACCTGTTAATACAATTCGATCTTCTTTATATATTACTACTGATCATTGATTGATTTTGTTTGAATACTTTATTTTATTATAACCCTGGTACATGTCAATATTGACTATCCAGATTCTCTGGAAGAATTAATTGAAAGATGTTTTTACATTGAGTTTTGTAGCTCAGAGTTTTTACATAGAGTTTTGTAGCTCAGTTTTGAAACCACATAAAACTAATGCTGTCTCATGCGTTCCCTGGAAGAATTAATTGAAAGATGTTTTTTACGTCCAGTTTTGTAGCTCATTTCTGAAATCACACAAAACTACTGCTGTTTCATGCATTTTAAACCACTCGGGTTACAGAACCAGTATCGTTCCCAGCTATTCGTGTGAAGGGTTAAGATACCTTTTACTTTGGAATACCATTATATAGTCAGCACTTTTTTATATTATAAACTGTGACCATTAACTCGGGGACAATGTTTCATGGATAGAATGTAACTGTGACGTTTAGCTCAGGGACAATGTTTTCATGGATAGGCTGTAACTGTCACCATTAATGGATAGATTGAATAGGTTTTTCTGAATATTTTGTTTTAGAAAAAAAAAGATTTTCTATACAGAATATGACTGTCAGAACCCATGCTTAGTTCGTCATTTAATAAATGACATTTTACATTAATCATTTGTGCTCTCAGGCCTGCAGAACACACAAATGTCATCTGTATAATGCTAGCTTTCCACTGTCGTGCGATATTTAATGAAAGGATTGTCTCTATTGAGTCCACGATCTGGTGCGTGCAGATATGTTCGGATACATTTCGATACGATCAACGTGATTGCTACGACTGACGCCAAAATATAATAAGACCTGATAGGACTACTCCACAATTGAAACTATGATTCAAGTGGCAATCTAGCATTAGAAAAAATAAAATGGTTGGATTTGTAAGTTTCTTTGGATATGTTTCATTTTAAAAAATATATATTTTAATGGGCTAATTTGGGAATATACCTACACCCCACATTCCAGATACATGTATGCCACTAATACACAATTTTTTTTTATCATGAACTGACAGATTTGAATGATGACATTATGAAGAGTCTAGCTTTATGATTTAGTATCAAATTACATATTATATAATATATCATGGATTATTGTCATCCATTACTAGTCATTATGATATTAATTATTACCTGGAGGGGAAAACCCAGATTAATAGAGGGAAATACCCCATTAACACCAGTTATTGTAGAGTTATAAAATATTTAGAGTGTAAGTAACTTCAGGGCAATTTGGTTTTTATATTTCTCCTTTCAGCAACTGGACCTGTTGAAACTAATGCTCCTTAGACACATTAAACCTCACAGAGAACTAGTACACTATCGCATGATACTGAAAACTAGACACCTTAAACCTCACAGAGAACTAGTACACTTATCGTATGATACTGAAAACTAGACACCTGAAACCTCACAGAGAACTAGTACACTTATCATCTGATACTGAAAACTAGGCACCTTAAACCTCACAGAGAACTGGTACACTTATTGTCTGATACTGAAAACTAGGCACCTGAAACCTCACAGAGAACTAGTACACTATTGTATGATACTGAAAACTATTCACATAACTCTGGTGGTTTGAGAAACAATAGTTTCAGGCTGTCTTATTTTCTAGCGGTGTTAGGTGGCCGAATGGTTGCATCATAAGGTCTGTCAATGAGTCAAGTGGCGTGATTTCGATTCCCTGCTTGTACAACTTCGTGGATTTTCTCCAGGTCCCCCGGTTTCCTCCCACTGCTAAAGACCCCTACGCGCAAGGGGATCGTTGAAATAAAATTGAACCATATGTTAGTTCCGAAATGACCTAGTTTGTGTCCAGTGGATGTTAAACCCTCTCTCTCTCTCTCTCTCTCTCTCTCTCTCTCATGGGTTAGTCAGTATTGACATGCACTAAGTGCTTGAGAAGACCATAATAAAAATAATAAGTGTTTAGTATAAATGTGTGTGATTTGGGTAATTAATTGGGTGTGTGTGATGTGCGTTAAGACGTTAAATATTATTTTATTTAATGGTTTTGTAAATATTGTTTTTATGTGAGAGAACTTATGATAAATAACAACATATGATGTACCTCATTCAACTCAAAGATCAAATTACTTTTACACTAGTTTTTAAAACAAAGATTTTTATGAATCTGAAGCAGTTTTATACTAAATATGAAATGAACTGAAATGGGGTTTAACGTCCTACTGTTCTGGTCCGACTGGGCTAATAAAGACAGGCTTATGCCATACAGTGTGCTATGAGGGAAATTATGTCCCGGCAGTGGCACTATGGCCTACTCTTATATCAAATTCCAATTGCAAAGGGATCTTTTATGTGCACGCCAATGTAGGCCTATACAAGGGACCTCGGTTTTTCATCCCATCCATTTGTGCTCTCTGGCCTGGAGGACAATCTTAAAACAAATAACAAACACAAAATTGTTGGTGTGAAAATGTGAATTTATTAAATGACGACTGAAGCACAGGTTCTGAGAGTAATGTCGATATAATTAGATTGCATTAAAAATATGTGATTATTAAAAACTATCAAGCAATTATCCGAAGAACCTCATGCTTCTGAGGATCAAATAATCGTTGGGCTGAATTGAAACCCATCTAATTACCGGCAAAACACAGCTGTCATGCCCAACAACAAGCATATATAGAACAAATGATAGTGGATCAAAGCATAGCATAAATATAAGACACAAAAATTGAAAAAAACAAAAAAAATATTGAAAAAATAATTTAACCCTCTCCTTTTACTCATCGTTATATGTTTATTTAGTGAAAATGGCCTTTTTACAGTGGAAGTGTTTGCGTATTGAATTAGCATGAGACGAGACTTAGTTTAGTTTGTAAACAGTCCAACTAACGGCAGACTATAGAATGTGTCTGTTCAATGGTTGAAGAGATAACTCTATTGACCTTAGGATTACAAAGTTTCTCCGTGTTCAATACAGAACAGCCATAAAACATGGAAGGATATTAATAATCAAGATTAAGAGACTAAGTGTCAACAACGTATGACATTATGACCGAAGGATGATTAACTTATTTCAACTTTGGGTTTATTTATATAAAGGAGCTGCGAACAAAATTAGTTATTATTTGAAATATCTTAGAATAGAATCTTAGAGAGAGCGAAATGGGGTTTAACGTCCACTCAACACAAACTAGGTCATTTCGGGACTAACACATGGTTCAATTTTATTTCCATAATTTGCTTGCGTGTAGGGGTCTTTAGCAGTGGGGAGGAAACCGGAGGACCCGGAGAAAACCCATGAGGTTGGACAGGCGACCCTACTCCATGTCACGTACAACCAGGGATTTGAAACCATGCCAGTTGACTCAATGACAGACCTTATGATACAGCGCACACGTGCTAACCATTCGGCCATCCACCCCCCCAGAACCAGAATCTTAGAACTATTGTTAGTAGTTTATTGAATCAATGCATAGTCTGTTCTTTGCATAGAATTAAATATAACCTTCACATTTCACAAATATAACTATTGAAAACTCTAATTGTTAAATTAATTGATTACAAAAATAACATTTGTTTTCAGTAGGTTTATAACACCATAGGAATTTCACAGGATTTAGCTCGTCGATGTGTGTTCTCTAAGTATCTGAAATGAATATAGATTCTTGGAATGGATCTTCAACACTTTATTCAGGAGCAAATAAATAACAGCAACAACTAAACAACTTGAAATTTCCTATAAATCAAACTTTCAACTAGTATATAGGTTCCCTAAGCTGGTCTCTCCAATTAATGATTCATCTTAAATACATTTGTCTTTTTATATAAATTAGTTACTTTAAAAGTTAAAGAAACTTGACAGATCAAACTTTAGTTGCCACTGGCGGACGTGGAACCCATGGTTGCCAGCCTGTCATAATTTGACAGACAAGTTAATTGCTGTCTGCCTCTAATGACTAACCAAGCATTAATGAAAATTAAAATATAGATTTGAAATTAAAAACAGAATTAAAACCAAAAAAAACATACGACCTAGACATTAGTCATATTTATACAGTAGGCAATGTTATTGAGAGAGACTGTTGGTATCATAGCTTAAACTGTTAGAATTTCTAACTTAATATACACTAGTATTCAACAATTAAACAGGCATTATGTAAGAGCTACATCTGCCTATTGCAGGTCTTTCTTTAGCCTTAAATGTTATCTAAACAATTAGACATTAATTAACATGACGACCTCAATGGAGAAGCGAGGCTAAGACTCAAATGACCAGTACTGTGGTTACAATCCATACACTTGTCTTGTCAAAACTACAACCATTGTTAACTTCGCCATAGTTATGGAAAAAAAAATGTTTTTGTTGTGACGTAACATTTGATTTTATATACAGGTACTCAAAGATACTTGTTGATTGGCTGAAGTAGCCACTCTCTTATATCACTTGTAGATGGTCCCCGATGTTTAGCAGATTGATGTCATCTTTCTTGTCTGAAAACCCTTACTGCTTTTTAAATTGTTGGATTTTTTTTCACTGTTTTAAATCATTAAACCTTATAGATATTTTATTTTATCGTTTCAGGAAGTGGATATTTTGTTGTTACACCAGAAACTTTCCGTCTTCCCACAACCACCAACGAATCAAACGTCACATTTAATAACTGGTTACAGTATCAACCTATGTATATACCTGTGTTTCCACAGCAACAGATTCCCATGGTAACGCATCCACCTGCTCCAGCTATGGCACCAGTTCCAGCACCAGCTCAAATGAGGACCGTGTCCTGTCAAGTAGAATCGGCTGCCCCTGAAAAGCAAGCTAAGGGTCCGAAACCTCGATCTCGAAGTCAGAGTATGCGAGGACCTAAGGGTAAAGAGAAGGAGAAAAGTCTAGAGAATGAGGATTTTAAACGAGTTATGTCGGTGCGATGTCGACCAGAAAAAGCAAAGGAAATAACCAAAGATATAAATAATAAAAATAATGCTAATCAAGATAAAGTTAAAGGTAAGTCAAGACTCAATAATCCAGTCTAAAAGGCCATACAGAAAAAATATTCTGGTTCTAGATACTCCTGCGTCATGACATATTTTTATTTCAAAATAAAAAACAATCTCATTCATTATCTCAACTCTTTATTAAACATGCATTATATGCAAGAGCTAAATCTGCCTATTGCAGGTCTTTCTTTAGGCCTGAAATGTTATATATAAACTATTAATTAGACATTTATTAACAAAACAAGACCATAATCAACTCTCGATGGCATCGGATACTCGAGATTTTAACTAGATTAAAACGGTTCGCCATTTAAAAATTTAATTTCAAAGTGGGAAAGCGAGGCTAAGTCCCAATTATACCAGTGCCCTGGTTAACACTGTGCACACATCTTGTCAAAACTACAAACAGTGATAACTTGGCTGAGAATGAAGTAATTTGAATGAAATTTTCAATATTTTCTTTTTTTATCATCTATTTTTGAATTATTATAGCAAGAATGACCAACTCTTTATTAAAATAATGTATCTTTAATTAAGTAATTAATTATTATCCATACATAGTCGTCACTAAAAACCAACTGAATGTCCATGCATTTTCCTAAAAATACAGACAAAATGAAATGGAGTTTAACGTCTACTTGAGGACCCAGAGAAAATTTTAGCATCCTATGCACATGTTTTTAACCATTCGCACCCCCCCCCCCCCCCACATCTCCTAGCAATTCAGCAATAATAGTCACAATCTACCTGTAACCTCACCTTCACAAGAAATAACAACAAAAACATTAATATCACTTTGTTTTATTTTCCAGGTGAAAAAGTTTCTCTCTTCTCAAAAATATTTGGTCGTAATAAGAAAAAAAATACTCCTCCTCCTCCCCCTCCGGTTGAGGTTGAACCCCCAGCAGAAAAGGAGAAAGAATATGCAACATTCTCAGCACAGTTCCCTCCCCCTGAATGGCAGTGGTATCAACAACAACAAGAAAAACATCGTAGAACAGAGCAATGGGTCTCACAACAGGTACGGTTAGATTCTATCAATTAGGTATTTCAAAAAAAAATTAATCCAGATAAGAAATTAAGGACTGTTAAATTTATTGATATGTAAATGGAAATTATGCAAAAATGTGTCATGTTGTTAAGGCTCAAAGAAAGATTTGCAATAGGCAGATTTAACTCTTGTTGTTCTTAGTGTTTAACGTCCAAGTTGTCTATTTTTTCTTATTTTCATTATCTTAGCGCACGCGCAGGTCCAATCTGATTAAAACACAGATCCTATTTCGTTTTGTTTTTATAGTTCAAAATTTCGTTTTACTCGTCTTTACTACAATAGGATCTGTTATTTAACTCGTGTTCTGAATGGTATCAGGGATAAGCCAATGAAACGGTCTGTTACGGCGAGCTTTAGGCATGTTTTTCACGGAACTGTGTGTAATCCACTAGTAACATCAATGCTGATTGGTTAATCAAATGTCTGACGTCATGGGGTCATAAGTCGGTCTTTTGACCCCTGACGTGACCTATCGCTACAACTTGTCAGATCTTCATGTTGTGTAGGCCATCGAAAGTATAAAAAAACGAAACAAAATATAGATCTGTATTCTAATCAGATTGGTGCAGGGTCTTTCCTGTGGGAGGATCCAGGTTGAGAAGGCGCCCCCTATCTCCAAGCGACATACACTCACACCAGGGATCGAAACCAGAACCGCAAGCCAGAGGTGACACTCTAGATCACTAGGTCATCCCAACCCTCTATTTAGCTCTTACATAATGCCTATTTTTGTAGCCCAGTTAATACAGAAAAGTAGGACATTTCATTTTTATACGCCCACATTGAAATGTGGTCGTATATTGTCGTCGCCCCCGTCTGTCCGTCCGGCGTCCACAATTGCTTGTGGACGCTCTAGAGGCTAAAGTTAATATCTGATTGACTTTAAATTTATACACAGTGTTTAAGGTCATGAGACGAAGAATCCTGTTGATTTTCAGCGATTTCCAATATTTGCTGCCAGAGTTATGGCCCTTGATCACTTTGAAAAATCTTGTGGATGCTCTAGAGGCCAAATTTAATATCCGATCGACTTTCAATTTATAGACAGTGTTTAAGGTCATGAGACGAAGAAGCCTATTGATTTTCAGCGATTTCCAATAATTACTGCCAGAGTTATGGCCCTTGATCACTTCAAAAAATCTTGTGGATGCTCTAGAGGCTAAAGTTAATCCATGATATTAAAAGCTTTGCATACAAAACGTTAGCATGGGGCAGAACTTTATAAAAACCAAACAAATTCTAATAGTTTTCTGATAATTACTTCGTGAGTTGTTGCTCTTAATCAGATTTTAGTGTATTATAAATGTTTCATTACCGAAAAAAGTAAAAATATGCGACAACCCTTGTTGACTGCCCGGACGATTTAGTTGCTGTGGGCGTATGTTTCGTTGCCTGGCAACCTATCTTATTTAAAGTTTGGGGGTCTGGATGGCCGAATGGTTAGCACGTGCACGCTGTATCATAAGGCCTGTCATTGAGTCAACTGGTGTGATTTCGACTGCTAAAGACCCCTACGCGCAAGCGAATTATTGAAATAAGATTAAACCACATGTTAGTCCCGAAATGACCTAGTTTGTGTCGGGTGAACGTTAAACCCCATTTCTCTCTTCCTCTATTTAAAAAGTTTTTATATTCTATATTTGTCTGTTTACAGATGGTGAAATCTAGGACGTGGCATTATATACAGAATATGGGTATCAACGGCGGTGAACAGCCACAACATGTTCGCTGTAACACCATGGACGGACTAGCCCGTGTCCCAGCACAGGACCCGGCATCACATAACGTATACAGTACCCTGGGTAGGACTGGAACGGCTGCTCACAGTGACTACATGGTCATTGATGCACTTGTTGATCCCATCACAGGTGCTCCGATTGATCCAAGTTCGGGACATTATCAAGCAAAAACGGAAAGCGGTGGATCAAATACTCAAGAAAAGATAACTCAGCGTAAAAGTTACCATGACGACCGAAGAAGTCGTGAAAATTTAGATAAAAAAGGTCGGGATCATCCAGAGCGAAAGAGTCAGGATTGTTTGGACAGGAATGCTGGAGAGCATGGTGATCGTAAACGACATGGTCATCGAAAGCATCGTAGCTCTAAGAATCGTAAAGAACGAAACCATGATCAAGATGAGAATATCGATCCTTATGGTGTTTATGGAGCAAAGGACCCTCCATCTCCTGTTCTTGCATCTGATAATTTTTACCAGCCCTTAACGTCATGTCCGGGTCCCTACCATTCGACACCTAGATTTTACGATACGATCCCTTCTCGACAACCTCGTGAGGAATACGGACATCATGTCCCCCCTGCCAATGATCCCCATCAATCTACTCAACATCATACGTATCAGCGTCGATCACATCGTCATCGTAAAAAGTCGAGTCACCATAGAAACACTTACTACGGTCACGGTACGTATAATGATATGGACATTAGTTACGAATATCATGGGAAGTTACCCAATAAAAACTCTACTTACGCTCAGTCATGCGACAGCGGTGTGAATTGTGTCGGTTTAAAAACAGAATCGTCTGGTGGAAAGACGGTGCATAAATCGCGAGAATCAATGCCTTTACCCAGGCCCCACGCGAATAAAAATAAAAATCAGCTGGATAACCTTCCTGAAGAGATGGAGAAACCAAAAGGTGATGATGGGTACGTTGTCATGGAGAGTCGTCCTCGTCGTTTACCTTGTAACGATGGTTACGATAGTAGTATTATGGAAACTCCGGCAAATACTATGATCGTCTGTCAGGCGGAGATTAACCATCATCCAATACCACAAATAGTCTTGGATACTGAGCCTCATCAAGCCAACTGCTATGAACCAGATGTGGCTCAATCGTCCAGTAGCAATAACGGCTCTAGAGTGGAATTGAGCAGTACGAAAGATGGAAGTGTTGATACAGTTATTGAAAAAGATGAACGAGCTGAAGATTGCCGTGGTAACCCAGCAGGGGAAGATAACCCAGAAGAGAAACCAGAATGTCAGCAAGATAAACCAATCGAAAAACCCCAAACACAGTTTGTCGACAAGGAGTTAAAGCCATATAAGGTTGATAGCGTGACGTTAGAAGTTAAAGAATTAAGTCTAAAAGATAGCGGTTTTAGTTCTCCGCGATACGTAGAGATCACTGGAGGAAATTGTCCCAAACAACCCGCCACTTATCAACGATTCCAAGAACACATGGCCAAACCAGTTTTAAAGGTCAATAACTCGAACAATTGTGAAAATGTGTACGAAAACCAATCGCATTGTGTCCGTGACCCTTTACATCCCCAGTTTGAAAATGGTCGACCTTTGCCTCACAATGGGGATAAATGTCAATGTCATAGGTCACGACCCCATGAAAATCAACAACAACAAATGGTGATAAATAATCAACGCAGTATTTTTCGACTTAAACCAGACAATCTCGTCCAATCACAATGGGTTGATGGACCCGCGTCCGATTTACCTCAACAACAAGTAACGTACGCGAAACAGTTTCGATTAAGTGGCGAATTTGAAGTCGTCGGTGTTGTGTAGTTAGTTATTAGTGCTTATTGGTCAAAATCTATTTATAGATTGTAAAGGTGTTATTCAGGTAATGTTTATATAATGTTTATATATTATGACATTGATTGACAGCATGTAAAGCTGTCGGAATATCGAAATGAGGAATGAGAATTAAGGCTATTCCATTTACAATTATCTTGGTGGTTGGCCACTTCTCGGAGATTTCGTAAAACCCTTCAATATGGCATTATAGTAAGTTTAAATGGAATAGCCCTTATGTCATTGATTGACACTTTGACAGTAAGTAAAGCTGTCGGAATGAGAATTAAAAGGCTATTCCATTTAAAATTATCTTGGTGGTTGGGAACACCCCAGCACACACTTCTCCGAACATTTCGTAAAAACTCTTCAATACTAATTTTAAATGGAATAGCCCTTAGTGTATATTTAGAATTTATTTAAGCAATATTAGAATGTGTTTTGTAGTATTTCTGTTTGACTTTGATCTCATGCTAGTAAGTAAAACTGTTTTGTGAAATGGGCCTACGATATATAAAGCTTGTCTGCTATGTAGGTCTATATAATAGATAGGTATTATTTACATTGGTTGTAACACGAATATGCTTGTAACACGAATATGCTTCTCTTTAGATATCTCTCTGTCGCTTTCGATATTATTTATAAGCTTGATTTATATTTATAAAATGCAGTTTCAATTTATGTTTCATTTATTTGTCTAATATCTGATTCATTACAGTCTCTGCTTGTATAGAGCTACTAGTTGGCCTAGACTCTGCATTACGGTTGCTATGGGATACATTTCATGCATTGAATGAACATATACTTTTAGCCTAGACTCTGCATTACGGTTGCTATAGGATACGTTTGATACATTGACTTCTTCACCTGTGCACCTAAACTTGACTGATTAAAAAAAAAATTTCACATAAAATTACCATATTTGGGGTGATAAATAATATCTCATATTCATCAAAGTCTCTGACGAATGTCACATGATTTTTCCAATTCATCATAACTTTGCAAATACTAAAAATAATTAAACCTTATTTGGACTGATAAAGATTCCACGTTCACAATATAGTACATGTAATTTGCAATGGCTATAATGATTCGTATATTTGATATCAAAAGCAATCTGCATTATATAGGATTCTCAATGTATTGAATGTATGGCCATTATAAAGAAGCTTTACAACTTTGTTTTAATTAGTTTGCCTGTATAGTTTATATTCTAGACATACTGTGAAATTGACACTGAATCAAGCTTATTTCTAGATAGAGAGTATTAAAGAGAGATAGTTGTATTTTATATAGTTTTAGTTTTATTTCGATAATTCTAAAGATAGTCTTGAATATGATCAAGATTAGGGGTGTCAAACTCATTTTAATTCAGGGGCCTCATGAAATAAAACTTTACTTTAAGTGAGCCGGAGATATACAAAAATATCAAGATCAAGCCAAAAGTCCTTGAACTTTACTGACAAACAGTACCGAAGTCAGAGTTTTACTGAAACCGGAAAACAATTATAAATGATTTCCACTGTTAGTTTCATGGGCCACATTTAAAACACTTGGTGGCCGCATGTTTGACACCCCTGCTATAGATTTAATTTATTTTCATGACTGTCAAGTTCACTCTTTAATACTAAAACATAGTCGTATACTACGTATTGTTTAATGGTCGAAGGCAAGACATTAAGTAATATATTGTAAAAATGGGGGGGGGGGCGTAGGCCCGAGTGTTTTTACAATATATTACACAATGTCTTTAGCTCGAGACCATTAAACAACATCTGTATTTTAAATACATACAAGGGTCGTTACTTAGATATTTCTTTTCTTGATCTACACTACATAAAGAAAATGAAAGTAGAATATTATTATAATTAGACTTGTGAATTAATTGTGTATGTATTATGTATATAGATTGTATATCTGTTTGTTATTGTATGTGTGTATGTAATATTTATTATTCATCAGACTTTATATATATTTATATTGTATATTTACTAGGTTTGTAATAAACACAAAACCATAATATGGAACACTAATTACTATTTTAATTAAAGTGATGTTTCGTTGAGGGGTTCTCTCAATGTTTTCAAGCAAATGTCGATTGCTAAATGCCGCTCAAAGAAGAAAAAAACAGGTTTCTAGTTCATCAGTTTTCTTCACTGATTTATTCATTACCTATATAGATCAGTGGTTCTCAACCCTGTTTTTGCCAACGACACACCTTGCAACACATGAAAAAATAGCGGCATACCTGGCTAAATATATATATGAAAAATATTTGAATTTTGCAAAATAAAAATGTGGTAAGTCATAGATGGCATACAAGCGTAGACAAAGACTAGTCGAAGGTGCGCATTCTTCGAATTCAAGTTATAGACGGCATACAACAGTAGACACAGACTAGTCATAGACACATAGAATGACTCAAACTAAATGAAGTAAAACAGAGCTATGAACAGTAGTCACCAGTGAATACTCAATTGGGATCATGCTAACATGGTTTTTCGTATTTTCTTAGTGTGCCAATAAAAATTTCGCAGCACACTAAGAAAGATCTGGTTGAGAATCACTGCTATAGATTAAATATAAATATAAATTTTGTTTTATTTTTATATAATTTCGTAGCCTCCACTCCATTAAGATCTGTTTTACAAGAGAAGTCACGGGTGAACGGTGATTAAATGACATAAACTACTTATATTTAACCTTTCTCTACTGCTCTAGTAAATGACATAAACTACTTATATTTAACCGTTCTCTACTGCTTTAGTAAATGACATAAACTACTTATATTTAACCTTTCTCTACTGCTCTAGTGAATGTCTCATATGATATTCTCGACATGGTTCTCCCTTGTCAGAGGGTGTAGTAATACTGGACTTCTTTGTTGTGTTTTCATCGTGATTGTAAATATAACTACAGGTTAGGTCCTTTATACAACTTTATTATTAAAACCGCTTGGCATCAATGTTCCTCGTTCTCAATAAAGTGTATATAGCTTTTGATAGCTGCTCTGACAAACCGGATGAGCTCTCCTGAATTTCACTCAACACCCTCTTTTATAACCCCCTAATTTCTTTACGTCATAGACTGAACTCTGCGTTATTGTCCTTCCCAAATATGGAATAAACATCCCCAAAGACTGGGGGTGGGGGGAACATTACTTTATTTGGTTTACCAAACACATGTCATAAACAGATAGTATTCGATGGATATTTTGACAATGGAAAGGACAAAACCAGTGTTTTTACCAAATTACCACTGTTTTTATTTATAAACACATCAGTCAAATTTCATTTGAGTGCGTGAAATATGACTCTTATACAAAGTGTGAATCTAATTATTAGTTAAAAATACAATATGGTCGCAAAGACCAAATTACTACAGTAATGCATATCTGTACATGATGTATTTGCTACAAGTTTTCAATGCATTTTACTCTCTGTGTACTTATTTTAAATGGCAATTTTATAATTTGTATATAAATCGTGTACAATTTTAAGTGTTTTTATTTAAATTTGTTACCTAGCATCTTATAGGATAATAAAGGCAATATGTAATGTAACTATGGCAACTGTCTGATGCCAGTATTATTGTATAATAAGTATATATATATATTAAAAAAACCTTACAAATCTTAAATATTTGTTCTTTTTTTTTCTCTACATGGAGGAGGGGTTGGAGTTGGATGGCCGAATGGTTAGCGCGTGCGAGTTGTATCATAAGGTCTTCCATTGAGTCAACTGACGTAGTTTCGAGTACTAGGTTGTACATGACAAGAAGTAGGGTCGTCTGTCCAACCTCATGGGTTTTTCTTCTGGTCCTCCGGTTTCCTCCGAAAGCCAAAGATCCCTACATGCAAGGAGTCCAGAAATGATCTAGTTTGTTTCTGTGGACATTACACCCTCTCTCTCTCTCTCCATAGAGAAAATAGGCTAGATTTGCAATTAGCATTTCTGAACCACAGTGAATGTCTCAACGGGTATTGGATTAGGTCACTACAGAGGAAGTGATAAAGTTCTGAAGTCGATCCAGGGGTTGTCCATAAAATATCCACAGCCTGGTTTCGCTCTTGTATTAACAACAACTTAATCAAGGTAATATGTACAATTGGGAGTTGCACAATTGGTATTCGAAGATGACCAGAAGGACATGCTGTCCAGACAAAATTCTCCTCCTTGGCACTGCACATGCATCAATTGACAAACGTCAATATATGAAATGTGGTGGTGGAGTGGAAAAGCTAAAAGTGTAGCCTGTATCCGGGGCTAAGTGAGGGGGGACGCAATGACCAGCTTATCATCATTATGGTTTTAAGTTTTTGTGTTCCCTTGAGTTTTTGTGCCTCTCTGAAATGGCAGTTTCAATGCGGTTTTCAACGTTATAATCATAATGATTAACCAGCGTGGGTGAGATATGCTACACAGTCCTATATTACTACGGGCACTGGGAGGGCGGATGGCATCTTGGGTTACCAAGCCCCTGGCCTGTAGCCAGTCATCACCGTATTGTTTGGACATGTTCAGGTAGAGTTCACCTAGAGAGTGGGAGGCCTGGGCTTCACAATAACACACATGTGCCATCCAATACTTGCTTTCATCTGCATTTTCACTTGCAAATTCTCTCAAATGATATTAAAAAGAGGAGTGCCTACTGATTGTGGTATGTAAAATGTAGTATATGGGCCAAGGGGGATAACTACAATTATCAGAAAGGAAACTTGAACATTCAGTTAAAGAGAGAGAAATGGGGTTTAACGTCCACTCGACACAAACTAGGTCATTTCGGGACTAACATATGGTTGAAATTTATTATTTAATAATTCGCTTGTGTGTAGGGGTCTTTAGCAGTGGGAGGAAACCGGAGGTCCCGGAGAAAACCTACGAGGTTGGACAGGCACATTCAGTTAAAGGAACTAAGTCTTTAACATCATCCAGTCTTCGACATTGAAAATACGACTTATCAGTCAACTTAAATCAACATTAACCCTAACATATCCCACGCAGGAGAATACTACCGGTGTAGACTGAAATAACCAGACTGCCATGCAATTCATACTCTGCGTAATTCGCCAAACATAACCGATTACAGTAAAAACAGAAACGATTGAATGTAAATCAGTTTATATACATTGATATTACATTATTACATGCAACCCATTTCTGTCCATTTCTAAGTGCCACAGAATAGCGATTGAGCTCCTTTAAAACCTAAGCAACTCTAAATGTTGTTAAAGGACAATATTGGTGCCAGTCATTATCACATATCCTCTCACAGTCTCACACAACAACTTTTGGTCTTGGAAGGAATTATTAGTGAGCAGAAATTCGACCGTGTATCTGTTATCACTCGTCACATCAGTCAGTTATATAGAGGTATGACTCGTGTTTTCCTTTGGCGTTCGTCACTTCCGATTCAGGAAACCTGTATTACTCAGCTGTCGTAGCAATGATCTCGGTGTTAAAATTATATTTGGAATGTGTTTAACCAGCTCTATCACATATGTGATAATGACTGGCACCAATATTGTCCTTTAAGCAAAACCCTGAGATCTCTGTATCATATACAGGAGAACGTTTAAGACCCACAAGTGTTAACCCAAGATCTTTCTTTGTATCATCTTCAGGGGACAAAAGATCCACAGATGTACACCTGAGGTCTTTATATCATAAATTGGAAGAAGGTCCAGGGGCCACAACTGCATTTATCAGAGATATCATAAAAAATAAGATTCAAACTATAGTTAACTATTCACATAAAATTCATATTCTATTTTCACTGCATGAATTTAATTAAGAAAATTTTCTTAACTGAAATTATTAATTATCAATAAGAATTTTAAAACTTGAAACTAAATACATTTTTTCTTAAAATGAATAACATTATATCTGGCACTGAGTTCACAAAACTTTGCACACAGTTTCTTCTTGATTTATTTGATGCATTAAAACAAAAGTTTTATTAAGAGTTTTATTTTAGTTAAAATAAGGCCAACAATGATGAGTAAATTCTGAACTTCAAGTCTGAGAGTGCTTTGTGAACTCGGGGCCAGAAGTGTGAATCTTTAGCCAGTTTAAATACAGTTGAAAATGTTAATTCCAAATTATTCATTTTTAGAACCCAATGTACATAAATATTTTAGAACAAATAAATCTACAAATAAAATCCAATGAAATTGACAATTTATTTTTTTTTGACAAAGATCAAAGAGATCAACACTATTAGACTCAATAGGAATTTTTCCGAACATTTTTAAACAATAAATCAATAAAAACTACGAACATAATTTGCATCTAATTACAACACATAAATAAAATAACACATTTACAATGGCTGGATATTCTGGTCTAACAGATACTGTTTCATTAATAGAATAACACATTTACAATGACTGGATATTCTAGTCTAACAAATACTGTTTCATCAATGCTATCTTATCATCAAGGTAACAGGTCATTTCAGGATTGTTTGGTCTAATTCTTAGGGCCACCTCAAGATTTGGTCAAAGGTTACGAGATGGAAACAGGGCTAGCACTAATGCTGGACCTAGCCCTAACCCTTACCCTAATCAACAATCTCACCAACAATCATGGTGCCCTAACCTTATTTACATCTCGACAACCTTGACGAAATATGAAGTTGGCCTTAAGAGATAAATCTAGTCATTCAGGATATCTAACATTTTCTAAGCTAATGAAATTGAAAAAAGATTCCAAGAATTCCAGAATTGTGTTGATAATTCAATACTTATAATTTGAAAATACCAGAATGACAATTATCTGAGCATAGTGTACACACGTTGGCTAAATAAAATACAGCCGTCACAAGTCAAGATGCTTCCCAATTTCCTTGCCAATCCCACCGACAAGCTGGAAATCCCGAAAAAGTTTATTGGCCAGAACATAGTTCGATTTTTTTCAATAATTCGCTTGCAGGTATAGGGAAGGAAACCGGAAAAAAAACCCAGATGTTGGACAAGCGACCCTAATCCTTGGACATTAAACTCCATTCAATTTATATCCAAAAGGCAAATCTAACCTGGTAATAAGTCACACAAACTGTCAGGCACAATCCTTTGATGCCGGTCAATTTGTCAGGCCATTTCCAGTTACGGTTAGGGTAAGCATAAGGGCTTGGTCTAGGAGTTAGGATTAGCACTAGCCCTGTTTACATCTCGTGACCTTTGACCAAACTTGAAGTTGGCCTTATCAAATAGATCTAACAATCTCTGACAGTTTTGGGCATTCCAGGGGATTTGAGACTGTCCAGGGATACACAGGTATAAGCTTAACACTCGTCTCACAATTTCTACAAGGAGCTGTGGGGAGTCGATAGTTACATGAACCATGGCCAAGTGCTAAGGAATAAAAACAATGCCTAAAGACTAATCTTAACTTGTAGAATATGAGCTTTATTTATCACCTAATCCTACAATCTGATTGAAATACACATCTATATTTCGTCTCGTTTTTTTATACTTTCGACAGCCTACACTACATGAAGGTCTGACCAGTTGTAGTGGAAGGTCAAGTTAGAGGTCGTACAAATGGCTTTTGACCCTATGACGTCAGAAATTTGATTAACCAATCAGCATTGATGTTTCTAGTGGGTTACCCACAGTTTCGTGTACCTCACGCCAGAAACTCGCCGTAACAGACCGTTTCATTGGCCAATCCCTCACATCATCCAGAATGCGAGTTATATAACAACTCTTACAGACCCTAGTGTAGTAAAGACAAGTAAAACGAAATTTTGAACTATAAAAAACAAAATGAAAGAGGATCTGTGTTTTAATTAGATTGTAATGTAAACAAACCTGGTAATAAAGGGAGGACTCGACACAAACTAGGTCATTTGGGGACTAACACATGGTTCAATTTTATTTCAATAATTCACTTGCACGTAGGGTTCTTTAACAGTGGGAGGAAACCGGAGGACCCGGAGAAAAAACCCACGAGGTTGGACAGGCGACCCTACTCCTTGTCACGTACAACAGGGGATTCGAAACCCTGCCAGACCGTATGATACAGCGCGCATGCTAACCGTTCGGCCATTCAACACCCCCTGGTAATAAGGCACCTGTCATACAGACTGTAAGGTTATATTAGACACATCTCAAACAGTAATTAATTAACTTTGTGCACCAGTCGTTGTTTGTATTTTAGAGGAGAGCCGATAAAGGCTCCCCTTAATCAACAAATTGAAAAAAATCGCTCCCCTAAAAAAGCTTTCCCAGTTTCGATAAGAAGAGTGATTTAGAAATTAAGGAGAGTGATCTGATATTAAGTAGAGTGATTAATTGTGTGTCTGGGAAATGTTTCTGAAGATCAATAATTGCATGTTAAGGGGTCTCCTGGATTCACAAATGATAATAAACCCTCCATGACTTTGTAAAGGAGAACGATTTTCAATTTTAAGGAGAGGGAGAAAAACCTTCCCTCGGTTGACATTCAGGTGAGAGGCAGGCGCTTGAGAGCGATGGCTCGCCTTAAAAAAACAATGACTGGTGCACTGGGGAATATGGGCCAATCGTATAAACTATGTTATTACAGTGATGAACTTTAAATTTAACACTTTCAATTTAACACTTTATTTTGACTGAAATGAAATCCGGTTCTATTTGTTTAAATATTAAATTTAATAAAATATATGAACACTACTACAATGTATTTGGTTAGTATGTTTGATTTCTAGATGTATAACTGAAATCATGTCGAGACAGAACTAATGAATCTATTCACCGTAACCCGGGTATCATTTAAAGGGGCTTTATGGAACATTAGATAAAGAGCTGGCAGTTCTCAATATAATAGTTAAAAACTCGATGATGTAAGGGAATATGCTGAAATTTCAGTCAAATTGCCCCACTCTGAACCAAGATATTAGCAATTGAATTTTAAGCCTAGTCTTGATTAACCATTTTTGAATTTAAAAACTCAATGAGCATTGAGCAGCAGATCGGATTCAAATCCAGTGGAAATCTGGCACATAAGATGGCATCGAGAGTTGATTACGGTCTTTTCATGTTTAATAAATAACTAATTAATAGTTTATATAAGAAATTAGTGCTACATACACAAGATTAAATGATACCCGGGTTACAGTGTTTGGTGATATACAATACATATAATATGACAGCAGTTTTAAACAATATATAAACAAAAATATACTTCATTTCTAAACGAAATCAAACATCAATACTCTTGTGTGGCGATAATCGACTATCTTGTATTGAGATAATCGATCATCAATACTCTTGCATGGCGATAATCGACTATTTTGTATTGGGATAATCGATACATATACAGTACTAATTTAAATGAAATCGATCATCTATACTCTTGAGTGGTAATATTCGACCATCTTGCATTGTGATAACCAATTCATATACAATATCAATTTAAATTAAATCCAACATCTAGTCTTGTGTGGTGATAAACGACTATCATATTGTATTGTGATAATTGATTCATACATGTTTACGGTACTAATTTATATGAAATCAAACATCTATGGTCTTATGTGGTGATAATCGACCAAATTATTTTATGATAATAATCGGTTGACTTACTGCATGTTAATAATCAATTGACTTATTGTATGGTAATAACCAATCGACCTTGGCATGCATAAACAAAAATATTCTTTACTTCTAAATGAAATCCAACATTTATAGTCTTGTGCAGTGATAATCGACTAACTTATAGTGTGGTACCAATCGACTGGCTTATAGTGTGGTACCAATCGACTGACTTATTGTATGGTAATAATCGACTGACTTATTGTTTGGTAATAATCAACTGAATTGCTGCATGGTAATAATCGATCGACTATGGCATGCATTAAAACTAACTCTTCATAACACAAGACAATCAAACAGAGCGTAATTCTGAATATATGTTAGATAGTACAGTAGAAAATCTAAACCATTAAAATGAAATGTCAATAAAATTTTAATTAGGATATATTATGAAATAACGCCAGTAGATAAATGATTGATCAGCAGTATATATACATGTATATTTATAAAAAATATCGATACATAGATGACTAATACTAGTATTTACCAGTTTTATAATATTTTACACAAGCCTGGAAATAAGGCACCTATCACAGACAATGGCAGGCACAGATTCAGACTTTGTCAGGCACAAAACCTCTGGTGGGTGATATCATGTTGTCAGGCACAAAACCTCTGGTGCCTGTCATTTTGTCCAGCATTGATTTGTCTTTTTTTATTGATATTATTAATACCATGTCCGGCACTAAGTTGAAAATGTCAGGTGCTATTTCATTATTAGTGCCTGACATTTTGTCAGGTACATCTAGAACCGTTATTTCCAGGCCTGATTATACATTTATTTACACCAATACATCTTTAGTATGTAAAAATATATTTTTAACTTTTATTTGTATGTTTCTTTCTTACTACAACTAAAGAAACCAGTTTAAACTGACTGCTAGAATTGCCAAGATTTTCTACATGCACTTTTCTTAAAATAACCGATTTTAAAACTGATGATGTAGATATTTTATTAAGTGTTAGTGCTTTTCAAAATTGGATTTCTGTAATAGTGCCCTATCTCTGGAAAATATCAACATTTATTACTGTGCCAGAATCATTACAAGAACATTTGAAACATCTATATATAACACCTGTCCTTAAAATCTCTACAATAGCTATTAATAGAGGCCCAGATCAATTTTAAATTCTTATCATTGGTTTATCAGTCTCAGCATGATTCAACTCTGTCGTATCTTACTGAACTTGTTAAACATTATGTATCAAATTCTCCTTCTTAAACTATCGCTTGTTATTAAATATGGAAAATTTTCAAAAGGTGTACCGATTTGTCGTTATTTTTGAGGTAATCACATACATTAGAAAATGACATTCTCCATAACCAATTACCAAGAATTATTGATGTTGAAGTCTGGATATATTAAAGCTTATAATTAACCCATTTCCTACCAGGAACTCATTTGACCGAATTCTGGCCAGTTCCTTTTATGCTTGATTAAGACCCCTGCTCTTGTTATACCATTATCTACATTAAAATCATTTGTGATAAAGCTCTTATAGTGTATATGCTCCGTGATAGTGGAACAACTTACAAGCTGGGATAAAGTGTCCAGAATCGACTGCTCAGTTTAAATCTAGACTTCAGACACATATGATGTATTAGCTACAGTAACCCCTGACTCATTACCCTGCTTATAGCATGCACCTTTATACCTTCGATGGATGAAGCTCTCTATAAATACATATCATTATTATTACTATGACTACAAATTTCAATAATAAAGTGCAATAAGTGATATACATGTAAATGGATATCCCAGGTGGTACCAAGTATCAAATATCAAATGACCACAACTTTTATTAACAAAACTAGAACCTGAAGTATTGATTTAAAAAAACAATAAACATCTCTGTGTATGTGATTATATAACTGGATGTAAACATGTCCTCTACTTCCACTATAAAACATGAATTAAAATAAAAATATGTATGAATGAATACAATGATATTTGTAGCAATTGTAACTATTAGTCTCAGAAACATGTTCCCATCAGCTGCCAACTAAACACTTGTCAAGATACCAGAAAAAGCTTGGAAACAGATCACAGGTCGTAGTAATTGTAAATGTTAGTCCCAGAAACATGTTCCCTCAAGCTGTCAACTTGTCAAGGTACCAGACCAAGCTTGGAAACTGGTCATATTTAAAACACAAATTCAGGCTTTATCCCACAGAATTCCTATGGAGTTCATGCACACATTTCATTTTTCTATATTGATATTTTTACAATCTGATTAAAATACAGATCTATATTTTGTTTCATATTTTTATTCTTTCGATGGCCTACATTAAATGACGATTTGACTGGTTGTAGTGGAAGGTCATGTCAGGGGTCATATGAGTGGCTTTTGATACCATGATGTTAGACATTTGATTAACCAATCAGCGTTGATTTTTCTAGTGGGTTACCCACAGTTCTGTGCACCTCACGCCAAAAACTCGCCGTAACAGAACATTTCATTGGCTAATCCCTCACACTATCCAGAACCCGGGTTATATAACTTGAAATCAAATGGGATTTAACGTCCTACTTTTCTGCTCCGACTGGGCTAATGAAGACAGGTATACACCATACAGTGTGCTTTGGGGGAAATTTTGCCTGGTCAGCGGAATAATGGTCTACTCTTATATCGAATTCGAACTGCCAAGGGATCTCTTATTTATGTGCACGACAATCTATACATGGGACCTCGTTTTTTTGTCCCATCCGAACGAAATAGGGAGAGAGAGAGAGAAATGGGGTTTAACGTCCACTCGACACAAAATAGGTCATTTCGGGACTAAAATTTCAATAATTATATTGCGCGTAGGGGTCTTTAGCAGTGGGAGGAAACCGGAGGACCCGGAGAAAACCCACGAGGTTGGACAGGCGATCCTACTCCTTGTCACGTACAACAGGGGATTCGAAACCACGCCAGACAACCCAATGACAGACTTTATGATACAGCGCGCACACGCTAACCATTCAGCCATCCACCCCCCCCCCCCCCCCCCGAACGAAATAGGATCTGTGTTTTAATCAGCTTGATATTTTTAACGAGGTAGAAATGTCATTTAGTCGACAACTAAAATCGTTATTTTCACGGATGTTTTCGATAGTGGGATACATTATGTTTTCAAGAACATGGTCATATACAATGTTTTAGGTAGTGGATACAATACGTTTTCAAGAACATCGTCACATACAATGTAATAAATACAATGTTAAATACAACATGTAAAAGATAAGACACTATGTGAGTATGAAAATACACCAGGGCCCCATTATACAAATTTATATATAGAGAATCTCCTACGAGTCTTTTTTGATATCAAAGCCTCGATTTTTTTACTTTATCGACTTGTGTTGATATTTTTTAATATCAAAAAAGACGAGTAGAAGATTTTATTTATCACCCAATCCTTTCTTACATGCACAAATAAATATAATTCTTTGCTATAGATTTCACATTTACTGAACCTGATTACATTACGGCGTAGTGATACATCAGTTTTTGACAGCAATTCCACCATTGCAAAGTCCTTTATATTGACACAGTGTTTTCATCAATTTAATAAAAATAGTTCATTTTTAATAAAAAAAAAAAAGAAGTTACTTTTAATAAAATATGAACTGTTCTTTGAAAATAAAAAAAAGTAGTTCCTTTTCAACTGATCAATCAAATTCATGTAAATCGCAGTAGATTATGAAATTTATCACACAAGCGATATCTACTGTAGAATGTATTATTGGGTGATAAATATATATATATATATATACATACATAGTACAGAGTAATTAAATAGTAACACATCAAGCTAAAGCGTTGGAGCTTAAATCTGGATAGTCTTTCGTAAAATATCTCACCAGAAGGTCAATGATGTTTAAATAAATTAAAATAAAACCAATTCAAACATTTAATAACGTACGTCTATTGGATTTATTTTTAGATAATTTTTTCTTTAGCTTGACAATTTACAAATAACAATTAAGTTACTAAATATAGATCTATTGTATAAAGAAATGTGAATTCAGCCATTTTGTCGCGTTGTCTAAAATAATGCTCAATTGGCATGTCATCAATGGAGGAAGTCACATCTTATTTCATGAAAAAATGGCATCAGGAGTAAACAACGAGAATTGACTTCTCTGATGTTTGGTAGAATTTTATTTCGATGTTATTACCGTAATTTTTTTTAAATATTTTTTTTTGTGTTAAAAAGGTTCGTGCACAATTTTCGATATCCTCAACCTAAGCTCGCGGGCGAGGAGAAACATAGAATCAATTCAACACGGCCTAATTTTACAAAAAAATGGCATTAGAAGGTTTGTGATGTCATACATTTACTCAATACGTCCAACCAATCTGATTAACACAGAAAATATTTCACCTGCCTTTCTAAATTTATCTACAAATTTGATTTATTTGTACGAGGATCTGGAAGAGTTTTTATACCAAACCACAATCTATTTGATGTGGGGAATTACCCAATGAAAATGTTTTTTTCGGAAAGCTTTGTGCAATGTACGTGTGCGTGGACATCATGAGTCAGCTATTGAGCAGTTGAAAACAAAATGAAAGTAGAATTAAATTAATATTAATACCCAACGCCATTCAGTCAAAGCTCACCTGTAGCAACCCTAAATTCACTTCTCATCAGATCTATATTGTATCGAGGTCATCGAAAGTGTAAAGCAAATGAAATTTAAATCCATATCCTAATCAGATTGACGTTCAAGTTACGTCAGTATTGCGAGTATGTATAGCCACAAAATGTCTTTTATTAGGTTTTGTGAGGAACCCAAATTTTATCCTGTCAAGGATCACATCCGTAACAAATCAAGACAAATTTTTTTTGCATGTAAGTTTTTAAATGGCATTATATAATAACTGAAATGAACGAAAAAGTTTGTTGGGGTTTTTTGTAAAAAGGTAGGCTCAATCTCCCTCCATATTTTCTGTCTGAATTGTCTGATCTGGAGTTGGACCTCTTTCTGGCTGAAGTTCTGGCGGTTGTGTTTCATCTTCAACATTTTCCTCTCCTTCGCCATCATCACCTTTTGTGATATCATTAACATCGATAAATTCGGACATATTTATATTGGCCACGCCCTCTTCATCATAGTGATCGCCATTTGTCGAACCCTCTTTTTCATGATCGTCACCTTCATTTCCTCCTTCCCGCTCTTTTGATTGGCTGCGAGCTTTTGCCCTGTCCTCTGAATCATGTCGTTCTTTGTCATTTGACCTTGAACGCGATCTTGACTTTTTCTCTCGCGATCCTGACCTTGACTTCTTGTCACGTGACCTTGACTTCTTGTCACCAGACCTTGACCTAGATTTTCTGCTCCTTGACCTTTTTGAACCCGAATCTCTTCTCCTAAAATAAATGTAATTAACATATCTTTAAATGAAGATGTCTTGTTGAGTTATGAAGTTGGTCATAGTTGTTACTACATGTACTTCCACTCAAATCTATGACAACGTGCAATGATCCAAGGATTTAAATGGATATTCCTTATTTTTATGACAAGAAGTTTTCCCACAAGTTGAGCTGTGAGAGATGTTATGTCAACGGTTGTTGCAAGTTGAATTGCAGGAGATGTCATGTTAATGGTGTTACAGATTGAGTTAGCTGTTACATGTATGTCAACAGTTCTTACAGGAGATGTCATGTTAATGGTAATTACAGATTGATTGAGTTAGATGTTATGCCAACGGTTGTTACAGGTTGAGATAGGAGATGTCATTTTAAAGGTTGTTTTGAGTTGAGCTGTAGGAGATGTCAAGTTAATAATTGTTACAAGTTGAACTGCAGGAGATGTTATGTTAATGGTGGTTAGAGATTGAGCTACAAGTTGAACTGTGGGACATGTTACGTTAATGGTGGTTACAAGTTGAACAGCAGATGTCATGTTAACCGTTGTTACAGGTTGAGTTTTGAGATGTTATTTCAACGGTTGCTAAAAGATGAGATAGGAGATGTCATGTTAAAGGTTGTTACAAGTTTGTTGTAGGAGATGTTATGTCAACAGTTGTTATGAGTTGGACTCTAGGGTAGAAGATGTTATGTTAAAGGTTGTTACAAGTTTGTTGTAGGAGATGTTATGTTAAAGGTTGTTACGAGTTGAGTTAGGAGATGTCATGTTAACAGTTGTTAACGAGTTAAGCTGTAGATGTTTTGTTAACCGTTGTTACGGGTAACTTAAGAAATTTGATGTCAACAGTTGTTACAAGTTGAGTTGTAGGAGATGGTATATCAACTATGGCTACAAGTTGAACTGTAGGAGATGTCATGTCAACGGTTGTAATGAGTTGAATTGTTAATAGAGTAGTTAAGAATTGAGTTCAATTGTTAATTAACTGGTAAAGAATTGAGTTGAGTTAAAAGAGAAAGTACATCGACTGTTATCAGTTAAGTTGACAAAGGAGGTAGACTTGTGCTACGACAAGTTGGCTCATTTGAGAAAGGATGTTGACTTTTGTTAGGAGATGGATCATACGAGAAAGGCTTTTGTCTTATGTTCTGAGATGGATTGTTTGAGAAAGGCGGTTGACTTTTGCCATAAGATGGATTGTTTGAGAAAGGCGGTTGACTTTTGTTATAACTTGGAGTGTTTGAGAAAGGCGGTTGACTTTTGCCATCAGATGGATTGTTTGAGAAAGGCGGTTGACTTATGTTATGGGTTGGATTGTTTGAGAAAAGAAGTTCACGTCTGTTATAAGATCGGTTGTTCAAGTAAAGGGGTTGGCTTATGTCAAGAGATGAACTGTTCGAGAACGAGAACGGTTGACTTTTATAATGAGATCGACTGCTGGAGAAAGGTGGTTTGCTTTTGTTATAAGATTGTTTGTTGGAGAATAACGGTGGACATTTGTTATAAGATGATTTGTTCAAGTAAGACGGTGGACATTTGTTATAAAACTGGTTATTCAATAAAGGCCGTTGACTTTTGTTAGGAGTCGTATTTAATAGACCATGCCTAAAATAATATATAAAAAACAATGCCGAAATGGAACAGAAAAATATAGCCATACACCCACAGCAGCCAAGTCGCCCAAGCAGTCCATAAAGGTTGTCACATTTTATGCTTTTGTTTGTAATGGGAGCATTTAAAAGACACTAACAAACTAGAAAAAAAATTTCTAATCAATATTAAGTGGATCATCAGGTTGATCTTAATCTAAACAAGCCAACAGTGAGGCTGATGTCCCCCGCCGAAATCCCCAAATAAATAGATGACACATATTAATTAATCGCACATCTATTTTTTTCCAAAGTATCAAGCAATCAAACTGATTATCAACTATACACTAAGTTTCATCACTCTCTATCAGATAGAATCAAAGTTATCTTGTCCCAAAGCAGGAAATTGCTTATCTCTGCTTAGCTTTAGCTCGATATGTTAATCATTGAACTCAGTCAAGACGAACATCTACATCAAGTTTAAACATTCTACCTCAATTAGAAGAAGAGCTGTTGAACTCAGTCAAGACGAACATCTACATCAAGTTTAAACATTCTACCTCAATTAGAAGAAGAGTTTGACCAATCAAAATGCTTATTGCTCGTTAGCCTAAGCAGAAAATTCTCATCATCGAACTTAGTCAAGGTATTGATGTAATGAAACTATACACCAAGTTTCATCACTCTCACTTAATTAGAACTAAAGTTATCGTGTTCCAAAGCATCAACCAATCAAATTGCTTATCTCTGCTTACCCTAAGCAGAAAATGCTGATCTTCGCACTCCATCAAGGCATTGACCTCATAAACCCCTACAACAAGTTTGAACATTCTAGCTCAATTAGAAGGAGGGTTATTGTGTTCCAAAGTCTCGGCCAATCAAATTGCTTATCGCTCTGCTTACCCTGAGCAGAAAATGCTCATCATCGAACTTAGTCAAGGTATTGATGTAATGAAACTATACACCAAGTTTCATCACTCTCACTAAATTGGAACTAAAGTTATCGTGTCCCAAAGCATCAACCAATCAAATTGCTTATCTTTGCTTACCCTAAGCAGAAAATGCTTATCTTCACACTCCATCAAGGCATTGACCTAATAAACACCTACACCAAGTTTGAACATTCTAGCTCAATTAGAAGGAGGGTTATTGTGTTCCAAAGTCTCGGCCAATCAAATTGCTTATCGCTCTGCTTACCCTGAGCAAAAAATGCTCATCATCAAACTTAGTCAAGGTATTGATGTAATGAAACTATACACCAAGTTTCATCATTCTCACTTAACTGGAACTAAATTTATCGTGTCCCAAAGCATCAACCAATCAAATTGCTTATCTTTGCTTATCCTAAGCAGAAAATGCTTATCTTCACACTCCATCAAGGCATTGCCCAAATAAACACCTACACCAAGTTTGAACATTCTAGCTCAATTAGAAGGAGGGTTATTGTGTTCCAAAGTCTCAGCCAATCAAATTGCTTATCGCTCTGCTCACCCTGAGCAGAAAATGCTCATTATCGAACTTACTCAAGGTATTGATGTAATGAAACTATACACCAAGTTTCATCACTCTCACTTAATTAGAACTAAAGTTATCGTGTCCCAAAGCATCAACCAATCAAATTGCTTATCTCTGCTTACCCTAAGCTGAAAATGCTCATCTTTGAACTCCATCAAGGCATTGACCTAATAAACACCTACCCCAAGTTTGAACATTCTAGGTCAATTAGAAGGAGAGTTATTGTGTCCCAAAAAGTGTGACGGACAGACAGACGGACGGACAGACGGATGAACCCATTTTAATAGTCCCCTGCTTTCTTCGAAAGGCGGGGGACAAAAATAAAGTTCCATATGAATCACATAAAAATTGTGACCTCTAGGTGTCAACTAGCTAAAAACATGATTTTTTCTACAATCAGGGGCCATAATCCATGAAGTTACTGTCTGATAAATGTCAATAACAAAAGTAAACAAGATCTTTGGGAGATAAACCTGTATTTCAAGTTTCGTCAAAATCAGATAAAAATTGTGACATGTCGACTGTCCACATCCGGACAGGGACGATGGCAATATACGTCCACATTAAAATGTTTGCGTATAAAAAAACAAAACATAGAAAAAAAAACCCTAACATTTTTTAATTACTTGCACATTTAGTATCAACCAAATATGTTCATCTAACATACATGTATGGCAAGATTGAACATTCTACCTCAATTAATTAGCAGAATCATTGTGTTCCAAAAACTGTGCCAGACAGAAAAGCAGAAGACCATCTTGTCAACTTTCTAAATCCTCTATTTTTGTGAGATCATACCCCTTTAAATGCCTTTCATACTGCTGAATGATTTCATTGTTGAGTTTCAGTCCTGTTTGCCGACTACGCATTATCAATTTTTTTTCCGAAATAATAATACTTATTGTTAAAACGGTTTGACACTCTAAATCTTGAAATTAACTGGCAGACTGTCGCCGTTCAAGAGAAGGCCACCCTCAAGATCAGTTGCATTATTTCTGCAATCCTTGTAAAGCTCCCCTTAATGGACAAATTAAAACCTCCCCTTTGTTGACAATCAGGTGTGCAGCAGGCGCTCATGATTGATCGCGTGTCTTTCTTGTAAATCATTATTTTTTTATTTCAGTATATGATTATGGCTGGTCCCCGGATTCATTCCCTTAATTTCTTGCAATGGCTGTGTAATTTGTCTTATCCTTAGACGTTTTTTGTTTTGTGTGTAGTGCGATCTTCCTGCACTTACTATTAAATTTTCCTTACATAACCTCGCCTATTTTTTTGTGAGATATTTCTCCAGAAATAAACTCAATTAATTCAGTGTATTAAATATTTACCCTCCAGATCTGTTTCTTGATGTTGATCGAGATCTTGTGCGACTTCTCCTGTTGAAACACAAATTCAAATAGTCATTTTTCTTAATTGCAAAAATAATTGAATATAATCTGTATTGTGTTTTATTTAAATCTTTGAGAGAGAGAGAGAGAGTGAGAGACACACACACACAACTAGGTCATATAATTTCCCTTTGATACAACCTAGGTTATTTCGGGACTAACATATCAGTCAAATAAATTTCAATAATTCACTTACTCGTATGGGTCTTTAGCAGCGGGAAGGAATACCGGAGGACTCAGACAAAACCTACGAGGCTGAACAGGCGACCACTACTCCTTTGCACACATTAAACCACTAGCCCCCCTCCCAACCCTTAAATAATAAATCTTTGAAATACTTAATTATGGCATATAAATAACCAAACAGACAGGGGTGACGGCAATATACATCCACATTATGAATGTGGATGTATAAATATAAAAATCATGTAGCATCTCGAAACGGTCAATTTATCTACAGGTCATTTACAGAAGTAATATTTCAACCTACTTTGACCGTCTTCTCCTGTCCCCAGATCGAGATCGGGACCTAGAATAAGACCTTTTTCTCCTCCTTTCACGTGATCTAGAACGACTGTAACGTCTCCTCGTTGAATAGTTGTCCCTGAATTAAAAGAAAATAACGGTTGATATATACAGTTAGTTGATGAGGGATAGACATGCTAATAACAATACTCTATAACTACTACACTATCTAACACATTCCCTCAAACTAAATGGTTAATTTAGAAACAATGGTTTGAATACAACATTAACAAGCCTGGAAATAAGGCACCAGTCACAGACAATGTCAGTCACAGATTGAGGCTTTGTCAGGCACAAAAGATCTGGTGCCTGTAATTTTGTCAGACACTGATTTGTCTTTTTTATTGATATCATTATTACATGTCCCGCACAAAGTTGAAAATGTCAGGCACAGATTCATTTTGTCTGATAAGATCTAAAACCGTTATTTCCAGGCCTGAACATTAAATACAGTGAGATCTTCTACAACAAAAGGAGCAGGACTGTCTTCTATTGGTAAGAAATAAGGTTTAATTTCAGACTTTTGATCACCAACCTACACTGTAACCCAGGTATCATTGAATCTTGTGTATATGACACTAATTTCTTTCACATTCGTTTAATATCAAATCTTTGTTTAAAAATTCATAAAAAATCATTTAAAATCACCAAAATCATCTAATTTGTAAATGTGTCCAGTTTAAAGCTGACTGATTAATTTACATGTAGATAATGAGTGTCTAATTTACAAGCATTTAATTTCCTGACCACTGTTCAAAAATTTATCATTTTACATCAATAATTAATTGGTTACTTATTTTTTAACAGTGATCGAGAAATTAAATGCTTGCAAATTAGACATTCATTATCAAAATTGAATGATCAGCTTTAAACTGGACACAAGTACAAATTTTTACAGATTTTTAAACAAAAATTTGAAATTGAATGAATGTGAAAGGAATTAGTGCTAGAAACACAAGATTAAATAATATCTGGGTTACAGTGAGATCTTCTACAACAAAAGAAGCAGGACAGTCTTCTACTGGAATGAAATGGGGTTTAATTTCCAACTTTTGAGCGCCAACCTAGCTGATGCAGACAGGAATAGGAATATGCTATGCTGTGTGCTAAGACAGAAAATCATCAAGGTATTGATTTAACTAAACTATGCTCTGAGTTTCATCATTGTTGATCAATTGGAATCAAGTTCTATTCCAAAGCATTACCAAATAAAATTGCTTTATGCACCCACTGGACTCTTGAAGCCAAGTAGTATGTACCATGCAATGTACTGTTAATATCAGGATAATTTTGCCCCGACCATGACATTTTCACATAACCGTTGTCAAGGTCTACACAGGACCTCAGCTTTTCGTTCCTTACTGGGCCCTCTGTCCTGCCACTTGTCAAGGTGTACACAAGACCTTAGTTTTTCATTCCTTGTCAGGCCCTCTTGTCCTGCAACACTGACTAGATGAAACCGTGTGCAAAAATTCTGAGGTACCGTGTATCCTAACACCAGGATCAAACCCAGGACATGACTAGTGAGAGAGAGAGAAAGAGAGAGAGAGAGTGATGGGGTAATTTCGGGGCCATGAAATGAAATGAAATGGGGTTTAACGTCCTACTGTTTTGCTCCGAACTGGGCTAATGAAGACGGGCATACGCCATACAGTGTGCTATGAGGGTAATTTTGCCCGGACAGCGGCACTACGGCCTACTCTTATATCGAATTACAACTGTCAAGGGATCTTTTACGTGCACGCCAATGTGTACACGGGACCTCGTTTTTTCGTCTCATCCGAATGACTAGACAGCTGTCCTTGTCAGGCCCTCCGTCCTGCATCACTGACAAGGGGGAACCACGCCGGAAAATCTGGATGAACTTTCTCGGCCAATGCAGGGATCGAACACCCGACCTATTTCGGGGCCAACACATGGTGCAATTTTATTTCAATAATTCACTTAGGCGTAGGAATCTTTAGCAGTGGGAGGAAACCAGAGGACCCGGAGAAAACCCATGAGGTTGCACAGACAACCCTACTCCTTTTTTGTCCCATCCGAACGACTAGACAGCTGTCCATGTCAGGCCCTCCGTCCTGCATCACTGACAAGGGGAAACCACGTCGGAAAATCGGGATGAACTTTCTCAGCCAATGCAGGGATCGAACGCCCGACCTTCAGACTAGCGAGCCAGCGTCTTACCCACTTAGCCAACTTTTGAGCACAAACCTAGCGCACCAACCTAGCTAATGCAGACCAGAAAGGAACAGGAATACGCCATGCTGTGTGCTAAGTCAGAAAATAGTCAAGGTATTGATTTAACTGAACTATGCTTCAAGTTTTATCACTATTGTTTAATTGGAATCAAGTTCTGTTCCAAAGCATCACCAAAACAAATTGGTTTATGCACCCACTCTTGAAGACAATAATAGTCTGTGCCATCCAGGTACTGTTAATATCAGGATAATATCCTTCAACTTGTCATGGTTTACACAGGAGAGGGAGAGAGAGAGAGAGAGAGAGAGAGAAAGAGGGAGAGGGTTTAGTCCACTTGAAATGGCTTAACAGTTGCAACTTCAACATTACAAAACCCTACAATTTGAAAACAGACAATCTCAAAACATGTAAATCCACATTTGACCTTGACAACAAAGTTCTTTAAACCAAAGTTGTAACACCAATCATCTACAATGCACTCACTATATTTTAGTGAAGTTTGGTTGACATACCAGTACATTGTATAAATTAGGAGATATGGGACAAATATACATGAAGCCCCAATATTGGGGAGCTTTTCTACTCCAAGGTTACTTGCTTAGGGTCAATGTCTTTAATATGCTTTATCTAACAGTAAGTGCAGGGGGACTGCACCACACAAAATTTACACAAAAAATACAAATACACAGACAAGACATCATACTCAGGAAAACACAGACAGACAACTAAAAAAAGTGAATGGATCCGGGGGTTAGCCGTAAGCGTCCACTGCACTGTACAGTCCCGGGTCTGTAGTGACACAGACTTCACTCAAATTTGAAAACAATCAGGAATACAACTCGTTAACAAGAATACATGTGAGATAAACTCGGAAGATAACACCAATAACATCTTCAATATGCTTTACCTAACCCGTTAACAAGTAGAATATATATGCGAGATAAACTCAGAAAATAACAACGATGTGACCCTAATATGAGTAGTCGGTTCTCCGGTTGAAACCGTAACTTGGTTAAATATACACCAAGACATTGGAGAGAGAAATCATGATTAACGTCCACACAACACAAACTTGCTCATTTCGGGACTAACATATGGTTAATTTTATTTCAATAATTCACTTGTGCGTAGTGGTCTGTGGGAGGAAACTAAAGACCCGGAGAAAGCCCACGAGATCGGATAGGCTACCCTACTCCTTGTCCCATACAACCCGGGAATCGAAACCACACCACTCAACTCTTAATGTTAAATCATTTGGTAACCAAACCCCCTCTCCAAGACAACTAACGTCCAGACAGCAACTGTTTGTACCAGAAGGTGGAATTAGGGGGATAAATCAACTGCCCAAAATGCCAGTGGATGGTTCACTGGCCATGACCGTCAACTATCTTGGACCCAGAAACACAGGGCATTCTGCTTAACCCGTAAAACATTCATCAACTCTGTGGTCAAAAGGTAAATATAGTTGTAATATATTATGCACTGAACATGTGTTGACATATCGGATGATGAACAAGCGATTAAAAGCGTTGCCATGAATTGTGTAAATTGTTTATAATCTTCCAACAGGGCCTGAATCAATATGAATAGAAAATTTTAATGATTTATTTGAGACATGCCATATGTTGTACTGGTTAATTAGAAACAGCTGGTGTTCCAGGTATACAGGTTTTTACATATCTTACAGACAAATTATCGGAGATTAGATAAAGAGCTGACAGTTCTCGCTGTAATAGTTTAAAAAAATAGATAACGTAAATAGAATATACTGAGAATTTCAGTCAAATTGCTCAACTCTGAACCAAGATATTAGCGATTGAAATTTAAGCTTAGCCTCGATCATCATTACTAAAGTCGGTACGATAAAAAACATCCATTTTGAAGTTAAATCATCCATCACAAAATGTATTCAAATTATGCACTAAATAACGCAGGCTCGCGATGACATCTGGAGTTAATTATGGTCTGGATAAGTTAATTAATGTCTAAAGAAAGACCTGCAATATGCAGATTTAGTTCTTGCAATAACGCATATTTAAATATTATATTCCATTAACAAATGAAATAAGTATTATATTAAATGTTATTAACTGAAATCTACATTGAGGACGTAAAGGATATGCAAACTAGGATTCTATCATGATGTGCTTTCATTTGCAATCACTACTAGGCCTACTTTGTGAATTAAACCACCCTTTTTTTAAAATCTGAACGCCACCTTGTGATCATATTTCTTTGCCAATATGACAATAGTACAAGTAGGTATATTCTACCTTAGTGTAAATAATTCATTGGTCCTCAAGCGAGAGAGAGAGAGAAATGGGGGTTTAACGTCCACTCGACACAAACTATGTCATTTCGGGACTAACACGGTTCAATTTTAATTCAAAAATTCACTTTAGCAGTGGGAGGAAGGTTGGACAGGCGACCCTACTCCTTGCCACGTGCAACCGGCGAATCGACACCAGTTGACTAATGACAGACATTATGATACAGGTCGCACGCGCTAACCATTTAGCCGTCCAACCCCCTGGTCCTCAAGCACTTACTTAGTATGTTATCTTATTTTAATCTATGTTTTCATGTCATTATTTTTTTTTTGTAAGAGAATTTAAAGGTCATAGTATAAAGATAAATATGTGTAGATAAGATAAACAATATGTGTAGGTAAGATAAACAATATGTGTAGATAAGATAAACAATATGTGTAGATAAGATAAACAATATGTATACATAACACCTGTTTCTCACCTACTTTACTTTAGTGTGTACTTTACTGTTACTGACAAGAAAGTAGTTCAAAAAATACCTAATCAACCTGTTAACAAAATAATTATCAACCATTGATTAAATGCATCTACTAAAATGTCAAGGTTTCTATCAAACCACAGTTTTTGCCTCGGCTGAATAATATGGTGCTGTTCTATGCCAGGCCCTTCACTGACAAGTGAGATTAACATTGGGGAAAATCACAGGAAACTTCCTGGATCAAGATTGGGACCTGCGGTTATTGAGTCAGCACTTTACTCCTGGATACATGTTATACCCATCGTCAAACCACATACCTCGACATGTTATACCCATCGTCAAACCACATACCTCGACATGTTATACCCATCGTCAAACCACATACCTCGACATGTTATACCCATCGTCAAACCACATACCTCGACATGTTATACCCATCGTCAAACCACATACCTCGACATGTTATACCCATCGTCAAATCACATACCTCGACATGTTATACCCATCGTCAAATCACATACCTCGACATGTTATATCCATCGTCAAATCACATACCTCAAAAGTATGTATGTTATACCTATCGTCAACCACATATCTGGACATGTTATACCCATCATCAAATCACATACCTCGACTGTATGTATGTTATACCCACCGTCAAATCACATACCTCAACATCTTATACCCACCGTCAAATCAAGTACCTCAACATGTTATACCCATCGTCAAATCCCCACCGTCAAACCACATACCTTAAAAGTATGCATGTTATACCCATCATCAAATCAAATACGTCAAACCATGTATGACTATCTGTACACTAAAACATTGGTTGTCCGTAACATATACCTGGGAGTGGGACAATTCTTATAGCAGATCATACATGTAGCAAAAATATAAAATTAATGTTAAGTTGGGATACCAAGGGTTCCTTTGGCTCAAGGCCTTTGAACAGTGGATACGTACATGTACAATTTCAATAACTTGCCAATCAGGATTATTTCAAATTACAAATAAAGTACATGTATGTTTGACCAAAATATGGTAATTCTATGTGAGAAAAAGCATGCATTAATCAGTTATTTAAACAAAAAAAATGTACCCTATTTCCCCTTTATAATAATATATATCTATATGCATGCAGGGTTAATGTTAAAATACTACACTAAAGTTATATATATAATAAATTAAATTGGATAACTAAGGCAAACAATTCTAGTTTGGTTGTGTATTCTGGTCATTTGTCGAGTCAGTTTTTCTAACAAGAATATTCACATACTTCATGCAGGGTATGGAAATAAAACAATTACGTGGACACACGGCTTTAATTAAATATAAACAAGAATAATACCCTATTCTTTGGGCGGATGACAAATTAATATCCATCAAAAGGATTTCTTTCCCTACTGTTGGAAACTAATTCTATTTAAATACCTATATATACGAAACATGAAAACAAGCTGAGCATTTAGCTTAAGGACTCAAATTGGATACAGAATAATTTGTCTTATTCATAAAAAACAGATACCTCTTAAAATCAATTGTTACCATGGTAACATTTGAAACATTAAGGGCCTTCTCCTTAAAAAAAAACTTTACCAGTTGAAGTATTTTGTCAGATTAACAAGATATTTTTTTTTCTTTTCCATGGAATGTGACAATTTCTTAGCTTTAAGTGTTTTTACAGATAGAAACAATCAATTCAACTGTATTTTCGTACTATAAGGTTATAAATTCTTTGAAATTCTAAATTGACTGCCAGTCAAGTCTTGTACTGCCAGCCAGTCAAGTCTTGTACTGCCAGCCAGTCAAGTCTTGTACTGCCAGCCAGTCAAGTCTTGTACTGCCAGCCAGTCATGACCAACAAAAATTACTGAAATGAGAGGCCTAGACATTAAAGCTTTTCATGAATAAGACAAGGTAATCCAATAATTTTAATAGGGTAATTTAACTCTTCTGTTGTTGATGACAAAGGTCACCATTACTAAATTTCTTTTATCGCAGACCTTAAAATATTTGATTAATGGAATTTTCCTCCAAATATCATTATGATTTAGGTCATGTACTTGAAATACGTTTTTGCCAGAAGAATGTTTCTTTCGGAACTCAGAGCATCAGAATATTTACACTGTAACCCGGGTATTATTCAATCGGATTAAAACACAGATCCTATTTCATTTCGTTTTTTATACTTCAAAATTTTGTTTTACTTGTCTTTACTGCAATAGGATCTGGAGGAGTTGTTATCATTGTCGTTTTCTGGATGGTGTTAGGTATTAGCTAATGAAACAGTTTGTTCCGTCGAGTTTTAGACGTGTTTTGCACGGAACTGTGGGTAATCCATTAGAAACATTAATGCTGATTGGTTAATCAATTGTCTGACGTCATAGGGTCAAAAGCTGCTCGTATGACCACCTCTGACATGACCCGCCAAAACAACTGGTCAGATCTCCATGTAGTGTAGGTCATCGAAAGTATAAAAAAAAACGAAACGAAATATAGATCTGTATTTTAATCAGACTGGGTATCATTTAATCTTGTGTATCTAGCAGCACTAATTTCTTTCACATTCATTCAATATCAAATCTTTGTTTAAAAATTCGCAAAAATCATTTAAAATCACCCGATATCATCTAATTTGTCTAGTTTAAAGCTGACTGATTAATTTTGATAATGAGTGTTCAATTTACAAATATTTAATTTCCTGACCACTGTTCAAAAATTAATCATTATACATCAATAATCAATTGGGTTGTTCATTTTTTAACAGTGATTGAGTAATTAAATGCTTGTAAATTGGACACTTATTGAATGGTCAGTTTTAAACTAGACACAAGTACAAATTAAGATGATTTTGGGTGAATTTAAACGATTTTTACAAATTCTTAAACAAAGATTTGATATTGAATGAATGTGAAAGAAATTAGTGCTAAATACACAAGATTAAATGATACCCGGGTTACAGTGCTAGCAAGCTATCATTTGTGATCAACCATCTCTGCATGTTCTTTTATTTTTTTTTTTTAAATCAAATGTCAATAAATTTAATATTTTTTGTTTAATTATTGAGCTGAAACCAAAATCCAACCAAATTAGAATAATTTACCTTATTAGGAAATGTCATGCATCACCATCATACACGTGTCTCAAACCTGTCTTACAGTTTGGCTGCGACACTTTTTACTCGGGAATTCGAGAAAAACATGGTCCTGTTCAAGCTTATGGTTATAAACTGTTTGGTTAGGTCAAAGTTCGTGGCTAGGTCAGAGTTCATGAGTGGTTTTGGTTTGTATCGACAGTAGTGTAAAACTGTTCAATATGTGACAAGTAGCGGAGTAGCAGTAGTAGTAGTGTGATAGTTTTGGTAGTGAAGTAGAGTTATCTCCCCTTTTGGTAAGAAGTTAGGTTTGGTAACGAAGTGTTGCCTAAATAGACAGGGGCAATAAATATATCGATTTATTTCATATATCACCACGATAGTTTTCAACATTATTATTACTTCTATAGTATGATGTATTAAATAAGCTTATGCACGGTTAGTGCTAATTGATAAGGCCAGCTCAATTTTTTGTCATAGGTCACAAGATGTTAACAGGGCTAGAGCCAATGCCAACTCTAACTCTGGACCTAGCCCCAATGCTAACACTAACCTACAATCTCGCCAACAATCACATGCCCGCCCTAACCTTATTTACATCTAAACGACCTTGATAAAAATTGACCTGGCCATAACAAATAGATTTAGCCGCTCATACACCCACCAGCAACTTTGTCTGCAATTTCTTACTCTGATGTAAATACTTACAATGTTACGTGTAGCCAATATACTGCTGTGCTAATCTGCCGCTATAATTTTTTTTCTATAGAGCATATACATGTACAGCTCAAGTCACAAGTGCTACTCTTTTTTTTTTTTTTAAAGATAACTCAATACGTTACTGGTATAAATGTATCTATATCTTTTTTTTTAAAAACAAAGTTTGATATAACATGTACTGCCGAGTCTGCGAAGCGAGTAGAGAGAGAGAGATGAAAATGGGACTTATCATGTAGGGCAATATGTGACTGAAAATTGTTATCTATGCAATACAATGAATTGCCTGAGACTTATAAAGTTGTCTAGCTGGAGAAAATCTATTTTAGGAACTATCCTACATGTACTGCTTATCATGTACAACTATCCTACTGCTCATCATGTACACGCCTGGGAACGAAGCCATGACTTGCAGATACATGCAAGAGGTCTTATGATCTACTGCGAATACATTCAACCGCTTGGAAACCCGTCCCCACCTGAATTATATTTTGGGAGGGAAAAAAAGAAATTTAACATTTTTTTGGTCCCATCCAAATGACTAGACATTGGGAGGGATGGACGAACTGACATCAGTAGCGAAGAATGATAAATTATAACAATTTTGTATTTGGTTGACCTATAGAAGTTGCTAAACCAAAAGTAGATAATATGTGGTACGGGGTATTGGACCAGGGAAGGATTTATTACCCACATTTAAATAAACCTTGACCTAATACCCAAATTTTATATAACACTGGTTTATAAATCGACCCTGTACATCAGGTCAAGAGTCCAAAATTCTCTTATATAACTGATTTTACACTATCCATTAATTAAGTTTTGCCTGGGATAATTTTAAAAGTCATGTGCCAGTACTTCTAACTGATTTTACCATTTGGCCTGGGATGATTTTTGATTTCCCTATTTGTATGTGAATAACAGGAAAGATTGCAAACCAGTGTTATATATTTACTACACAATAATTCTTTATCCATTTTTCCAACTTAGACCTTTCAATAGCTTGTGAGTCGTTTGGAAAAATTGTAGACTACCCTTGCATTGCCTTATAGTCAAAATACCAAAAAAAACATTATTTTTTGTTTTTAAAAAAAAAGGCAAAGAATTGCATCAAAAATATAAAAAGTCTACTCTCAGGTAAAAGAATATCTATATATATATACACAGAAATATTTTTGGGATAAGACTTTTGGACCTCAAGCTACTGAAAAGACTTAAGAAAAAAAAAAATCTAAAAAAAAAATCAAAAAAATCTAATAACTTTTGGTATTATTAGTATTTGGTAGGCCCATTGGGTGGGATCCATATTAGGGGGACTAAAACCTGTATTAATAATTCTCAAAATTTAAAACTCAGGACCCTGGAGGGACTTCAAAATGTCATTGGACAGACTGATTCTGGTCAGCAATAATCTCTCCAAACATATCTTAGTTCAGTATAAAGTTCTTTTTTACAACTAGAGGGAGATGGCATCAAGTTATTTTTACATCATACCTGTAATATCCTCCTCCACCGCCTCCCCCTCCTCCTCCCCCTCCATAACGATTATATGACGATCTACCACCGCCACCACCACCCCCGTAGCTGGAGCCAGTGTTGTTCAACTCTTTCTTTCTCTCACTAAATGGTCGGGCGTGTTCCACTCGAACTCTTCTTCCACAAACCAATCTGTTTGATATAAAATTATAATCTTTAGTTTAAAGATACATTATTTAAGATTTAGATAAAGAGCTAGTCATTCTTGCTATAATAGTTCAAAAATAGGTAATGCAAGATGAATAATTTGAAAATTTTGGGCCTAAAAAAAGACCTGAAAAAGACAGATTTAGCTCTTGCTTAATGTATGTTTAAACTATTTAAAGTTTCAATTTTGTTGGAGGTTTATTTCTATCCATGGTACAAAAAACTTTTCTCTACCCAATAGAAAATTTGAAAAATATGACATCAATAATGAAATTTCTAACACATAAAATCAAGAAAGCTGTTAAAATTTTCTGCTTTGCAATATAGGACGCATATAGAGAAAAGCTGAACGTAGACGTAGCTATCTCATTAGCCAAAAATGGTTGTATGTTCCTTATAAAATATCACAGAAAGGATAAAAATTTCAGACCATATTGAATATTCTTGTGCTCATCCAAAGGTACAAAACAGTAGGAAGAAAATCTACCATGTAAATAAAATATACATTGTATATGTAAATAAAATATACATTGTATATGTAAATAAAATATACATTGTATATGTAAATAAAATATACATTGTATATGTAAATAAAATATACATTGTATATGTATTTTCTGCTTTATTAAACATGCATTATGCAAGAGCTAAATCTGTCTATTGCAGGTCTTTCTTTAGACCTGAAATGTTATCTAAATTATTAATTAGACATTAATTAACCTATCCAGGCCATAATCAACTCTAGATGGCAACGCTAGCCTGCGATCTTAAGTGGATTGTGAGCCGATTTACTGCATAACTTTCCTTCTCCATTAAACGATTAAATGGATAATCGAGACCATGCTGTTTATCGTACTGACTTTAGTAATGATGACCGAGGCTAGGCAGAAATTTGATTCGCTTAGTTCTCGGTTCATAGTGGATCAATTTGAATGAAATTTTCAGCAAATTGCCTTTACGTTATCTAGTTTTTAATCATTATAGTGAGAACTGCCAAATCGTTATCGAATCTCCCATAATGTATCTTTAATCTACATCCTGGTAATTTGTAAATCACAAAGAACAACCAATGTTATAGTTTACCTTCCATGTCGATCTCGGACAGCTTTCTCAGCATCGTCACCATATTTAAACACAACAAAAGCAAAGCCTGGAGGATCTCTAAAATTAAAAATTAATTAATTATCAAAGACGATTCGAACGAAATTCTTGATGAATTATTGATACCATAACTTTAATAAGATGGCACAGTAATTATAAACGATTTCTAATAATCCATTACTTCTGGAGATTAGAGAGACCAATTTCTCACGTCTGTCCAATTCTTCGAATCTAAATAAAAATCTAACTAATTATTGTTTTGGGAGCGAGAGAGAAATTATGGGGTTTAACCTTCACTCAACACAAAATAGGTCATTTCGGGACTAACACATGGTTCATTTATATTTCAATAATTCGCTTGCGTGTAGGGGTCTTTAGCAGTGGGAGGAAACCGGAGGAACTGGAGAAAACCCACAAGGTTGGACAGGCGACCCTACTCCTTGTCACATACAATCGGGGAATCAAAACCCACGCAAGTTGACTCAATGACAGACCTTATGATACAGAGCATGTGTGCTAACCATTCAGCTATCAAACCGCCCTTTATTGTTTTGAAATTGTACATCTACTTACAATGTATAGCCCATAGCAAGGCATCAATTTTAAGCAGACTGAGCTCGCACTTAAAAACAATGCATGCAAATTGAGGAATCAGTTTTAAGTACATGTAGAGCAATAGAGCTTACATGTATGTTTGCAAATGCATGCAAAGTTAGGAAATACTATTTTTCGTGCAGACTAAATAATCAATTATGCAGCATAACTTTAAATAATATATTATAATTATGGCTCTTGCAAACAGATGTAGGCCTACATAGTTCTGTCAAACTTTATCTTAAGCGTATACATGTACATCTAATGAATGACCTGATAGGTCAATGCTTTGGATTGAATTCATTGTCTCTCATCTTTTATGTTGTTTAATACTAAGCTTGCAAATAACGTTTCGTGTTTTATCTAAATGTGAACCTTTTGGGGATGCTGTAATCGCTAAGGTACCCTTTTCTGTGCATTAAACAACTAAGGTAACAGGAATTACATTCGTACACATACTTACTGAAGCTGCAAGAATGTACGGTATGTAATAGTTTAGCACTGGTATCATCTATCAGTGTCCCAGTATAATATTGTTTGGGTTTTAACTGTTTTCAAGCTTTGTTGTGTAGACTAGTTAGTAGTTAGTTTTGCCGCTGGAAACTCCATCCCTGAGTGATATTGAAATTGACATGCAAAAAGTTTGGAATAGCCTACAGCACAGGATTGAATGTGGCAGTATGTATTAGTTAGTATTACTTGGCTTTCTGAGAATTTTAAGACAAGCTCCAATGATTCAAACGATGAATGGTGAATTTGACAAATGTTCAGATCTTGGCTGTTCTTAAATAAATGGTTTCTCATGTTCCTGCTAAATGTTTAAATTCTATGATTGAATAGATAGATGGCTTTAAAATTGATAAATTGGCGTAATCATTGGTTTCATTGTAGTTTTGTTCGCACCTAATAAAGAAATAAAACATGGTTAAATATTGGCCTTGACCGAATATTGAAAATAGGCTAGAGTGTTTTTTAAACTTCCTTCTCCGAAAAGGCCGGCGTGTGCATCGACTCCATCGAGTAGGTCCCCACGACCTGCACTTGCAAAATTAGATTTGAATTTGTGAGCGAAATAAAATAATGATGCAAACAAACCTTGCAACCCATGTGTCGACTATTGGTCCGTATTTCTCAAATTCTTTCTCGATGTCAAATTTACCAATTCTGTGTCCTAAATCTCCAATAAAAATGCGATAACCACCTTGTGTTTTGTCGTATTCCGCCGCCATCTTTGCAACAGGTCATCGCATGTAAGGTCACGTGATGAATACCGCAACTGCACTAGGCAAGAACGATAACTGCTACATGTATTAGCGCCACGTTTTATTCAGTTTAAATCGCTGGAAACATGTGTTACAAAATCAATGCATTGTCTTGAATATTAATAACGGTTTTATTTTTGTATACGATTACTTTACTACAATTAGCCACGAAAACGTCGATAAAAGCTTAAAGATATCTAGCTGGGCCCGTATTCAAAGCTAACCCTAGACTAAGAAAAGAGAAAATACCTTTTCCACATAAGGGACATTATAGAAGATTAGACAAAGAGTTGAGTTCTCGCTATAATAATTAAAAAATAGATAAATTAAATAGAATATGTTGAAAATTTCAGTCAAATTGCTCACCTCTGAACCGAGAAATTAGCTTTTGAATTTTAGGCTAGCCTCGATCATCATTACTAAAAAACAAAGTCGCGATTATCCACTTAAGCCGATCGTCGCCTTTTTCATCGCGCTGGCTACGGTGACCCTCGCATTGTATCTAGACACAAGATGATCTAAATGGAAGCTTTCAGGTACCATACGTTAAACCCCATTTTCATTTTAAGGGGAATTATCACTCTCATCAAGAGAATAATTCTGACGGCGGGCCTGATATGGAAAGTGTCTATTCGTTCGGATGGGACGAAAAACCGCGGCTCAGTGTACACATTGGCGTGCATGTAGCCTAAAATAACCCCTGACAGATGGAATTAGAACTAAGGGCCGTTATAACGCATTTGATCGGGAAAAGTTACCCTCAGAATAGCACACTGTATGACATAGTGCCCGTCGGTGCAGAACAGTTGGACGTTAAACCCATTCTATTTCATTTTAATTACAGTAAAGTAATTTCAGCGAACGTTCCTAATACCCCCACCAGACAGGGGTGGCGTCCTTACTTCGCCGCTACGGCGACGGAAAATGGTTTTAGAGCGCGTTAAGATCGCCATAAGCGCGGTGGAAACGCCAGCTATCGCGCTGTGGTCACCAGGGTCGCCAATGATCACCGAGTCACGGCGTTTGTTTTGAGCATGTTCAACACAAACGCCAAGGTTCTGCGATCTGAACTAGAAAGCTATGAGAACACGACTTTTGTCAAGTTTTTAATTTTTTTGGCACATTTTCGCACGTTGTGTTCACGTTTGCCGGCGAGCTTGTGTATTTTCTGGTCGCCGTACGGTCTTAGCAGCGCATAATAAGGACGATACCCCGGTCTGACGGGGGCATTAATGCTAGGTTTCCACTGTCGTGGATGTGTTACGATAGTATTGTCCCTATTGAGTCCACGATACGTTCGGACACGTTTCGATACGGTCAACACGATCGTTACAACAGACCCCAATATATGACAAGACCTGACAGGATCACCACGATTACTCCACGATTAAAACCACGATTTCAATCGTAGAGCGAATCGTAATAGTTGGAATCTAGCATAAACTGGCTTTGTGCAGATTTGTCTCAAATGTTGCTTACAATCTATTTTGGTTATCCCCGCACCATAACTACTGTTGTCGTGACTTGAAATCTAAAATACAAATTTTACCAAACGCCTAGGAAACCCCAAAGGCGTTAAATTAGAATTTACAATAACAATCTTCAAAATAAATAAGTAGCATACATATTTATGACTTTCCTGGCTAGAAGGTTCATTTAAAGGTGCAAAAAATATATTTAACAGAAAAAAAAATTGTATAACTTAAGGTCTCGAGGAAATATTGATTAATCGCCGATGTTACGGTGGCTAGGTGGGTAAGACGCTGGCTCGCTAGCCTGGAGGTCGCGTGTTTGATCCCTACATTGGCCGAGAAAGTTCATCCAGATTTTCCGACGTGGTTTCCCGTTGTCAACGGTGCAAGGCAGAGGACCTGACAAGGACAGCTGTCTAGTCGTTCGGATGGGACGAAAAACCGAGATCCCGTGTATACATTGACGTGCACGTAAAAGATCCCTTGGCAGTTGGAATTCGCTATAAGAGTAGGCCATAGTGCCGCTGCCCGGACAAAATTTCCCCAATAGCACACTGTATTGCACATGCCCGTCCCCATTATCCCGGTCGGAGCAGAACAGTATATGACGTTAAACTTCATTTCATTTCATTTTGATTCGGTACCCCCTTTTAGTTAGGTTCTCTACTCATTTGCTTCCAAGTTTTTGTATAGAACGTGGTCTACAACGGTGCTTTACGTTTCATGTTATCTCCATTATGAAAACCTGTTTATTATTACTATAAATCTTCAATTTGGCGTGGAATCGCTGTGGCTCAGTGAGTAAGACGTTGCCTCGCCAACCCGGAGGCCCCTTTTCTAATCCAGGTGTTGGCCAAGAAAGTTCATCGGGATTTTCCGGCGTGGTTCCGCCTTGTCAGTTGAGTAGGACGGAAGGCGTAGTAAGGGACAACGTATATAGTCGTTCGGATAGGACGAAAAAACAATTAAAGAAATTCAACAATTTAAAAGTGAAAATCAAATGTTTTTTCTTCTTTAAAAAGGTTATTTTATTCAACGTAAAAAGCATTTCATAATATATAAATAAATAAACGAAATCCTGTTTAATTTGAACCTATTACGACCACTTCATGACTGGAAATCCGTTTATTATGAATGAAACTGGTTTCCAATGACGAAAGTAAAGTGACCGAAATATTCGAATGGTTCAAATTACCAGTTTGTCTAAGCTTCTTCAATAAATATATAAATATACAAATTAGCACTTTTTTTTCAAATTGGTTATCTCCACTGTATGCAGAATATTATGTCATCTACAAATTTATAAATGTCCTAGCCTTACGCGCATGTAGGCCAACGTAAATAACTAAAATGGCGTATACCTGCTTGTCACGATGGCGATGCTGTCTCTATGGGTCGTTTGAATGTAGCTATCAACTATTGAACTAAGCGATCAGCCAAGCTGGTAAGAGGTATGTTATCAGACAATCGCTTAGTGAACAAGGGACGGCCATTATTATGTATAGGCCTAAATTAAAATATGAACAGCATCTCCACAAGTCAGATTGATGAAACAAGCAACTATAGGTTATTGAATAATAAATATTATTATAATGTTATGATCGGGGCCAGAATAAGTCAACCAACTAGACACTTCCTAAACACACCGGATGCCACCACTCCGCACACAAAGGATTATTTGTCAGCGATAGATCGTCGGCTACAAATTGCAGAGCAAGATACTCAGCCCCCAACCACATCGATTCTCCGTTGCCGAATTCTGGCCTCAGATTTGTCGCAATCGACGTGTCGTCGTCCAGATGTTTTGCACGTGCTACATCGCTATGATTGGTTTATACGGCACTAAAAATAGTGGTTCCCACCAGAGGGTCGTAAACCAACAATCCACATCATAGAAGTCATTAGCGCACACACAATCGACCAAACGCTTGGAACAATCTGTTGGCTGTTTAATTCACCGCATACCAAAGATTATTCTTCTGGAACGAAAATCGCCGACCAATAATTCCTGGGCGTGTGCAGGCTTTCAATGTCGAAAAGTCTTAATCCAGCCCTGATATCCGATAAGCTGGTGGAATTCTTTGATCCGTTCAAAAGATGATGCTGGACTAATACCATATTATTACCGATAAATTACACGCGTGGAATGATATTATATTGTACTTTAGTAATGTTGTACTTATATTAAATTTTATGTCGTGTTTTTGGTATAAGGCGACAAAAACAAATCATGTTTACGGTTACCAAGCCGACCCGATTTATTTAGACCGAAATCGCGGACCCTAAAATTTCCCATTTCCTAGGCCCTATAACTAAGCACTCTCCTCACAAGTCTCGCTATCCAGCATTCGTGAGGACTGCAAGGGAAGACAACTCTGTTTGGCGGATTGATAACTATGTTGTGAGGTGGTTTTCTGCGGACAATTTCTAACTCTGACATTTTCAAGAATCTTACTCAGTAATGAAGGCAGAAATGCTAGGAAATAGAAATTAAGACTTTCCGACCGACCTACGACCGACACAATTTTGGGAGACCAAGTTACCGTAAACATAGATGTATTTTATCTTGGCCTAATCGTTGGTATTCTCTACCTGAATATTTTTTTGATAACTATAAAAACAATAATCCTCGTACAAGAGGATTGTCTTAAATCAATACTAATCAATAAATCTATATAGATAGAGTTTTATAAGCATGTTGACGATGTGTTAAAGACAAAACATATATGCAGTTATTCAAGTGTACGTGTTAGGGATCTGGGCCCTTATTCACGAAAACTTAAACTAAGATACAATCGAAATTTTAAGAAATACTGCAATTCGATTGACTGACCAGTAAAATCAATTTGCATATATCCAATTTGCATATTGGTCAGCCAATCGAATTGCAGTATTTCTTAAAATTTCGATTGTATCTTAGTTTAAGTTTTCGTGAATAAGGGATCTGGTTTTGTACAATCTGATTCAAACACAGATCCTATTTCGTTTCGTTTTTTATAGTTCAAATTTTCGTTTTACTTGTCTTCACTAGTGTAGGCCTAGTCTCTATCATCAGACAAGGAGGTTCTGGGTGACAAATACTAGTGTAGACCATAGAAAGTTTAAAAAACGAAACGAAACATAGATCTTTATTTTAATTAGATTGGGTTTTGTAAATAAACATTTAATACAGGCCTATTTATATATAGCTATCAGTATATAATAATCTTAAAAGATACCTTAGGTGTAAAATATGTACATATTATGCATAATAAATTTCTAACTCATTTCTCATAGTCAAAGCCCATATCAAATCGATTTACACGCCAGTAGTACAGTTAAACCCCGTTACCTCGAACTCGGTATTCTCGAATACATTGGTTGTGTCTTGGTCATCCGTCGAACCCGATAATCAAAATCCCGTTTTTATGGTAACGTCATCTTTTTATTACATGTAACAATTAAACTAGTGGACTGGCGGTGTCGCTGAATTTAATACGAGAGGCAACAATTTGTGTTTACTATAATATATGACTAAAAATGTATTGTTTATCCCTCATATTCTTCAGATAATATAAAAAAATTCGTAGTTTTACGACATGTTATAATTAATAATTTATGGTATAGATAAAATAATGACGTGGCTTTTTTTTCAATATTAGATAATATTGTACATAAACATTGTGATTGTCAGAACAGAATCCTTTACATTAAGTTTAATATATAATAGCACCAAGAATAGTTGATATAAAAGGCACATAACGACAGTTGATAATAGTAGTAGACTGGACGTCATGACTCGGGAGTATTCATTGCCTTCATGACTCGGGAGTATTCATTGCTTTCATGACTCGAGAGTATTAATTAATTGCGAGGTAGGCTATGAGTTTGTTGGGTCACAGGGCCAAAGAGATCGGGTAGCATTGTTTTAGGACACTATAGAATTTTTTTATGAGTAGTTGTTCTGTGAAGTCTTATGATATAAAGATACGTACAGACACGCTTTTAATTTTTATGAATGATTTTCCTTGGTCAGGGGACTGAAACATTGTTATTGAACAGGGAGGAAACTTGAACGGGAATATCCCCGATCATTTTTTTTTACATGTGATATAGCAACGGGGCGAGAAATTTTCCTGGACAGTGGCTATAATCTTTTAACTGTCTAAGCTGCACTTAAGCTTGACGTTGGATTCTATCTAAAATACTAAGCAGCACTTTTCTTTTAAGCCCCGCAGTCGGTACCCCCAACATTTGGCAACGAGTCTTAGACAGCACCAGGATATTAGAACTATGTAGCTATAATCGACACTAGCGTGTTTGTATATAAATAATATCATTATAAAATACGAGAAAATCACAGAGAATATAAAATGTTTAAATATTTAAACTATATATAAATGTACAAAAATATATCGTATTTCTTTAAATATTATAAAATATTATATTGAAGGTGTGTATATATTCATAAATATGGCAAGTTTTTGAGTTCTATTCCTCCCAATCCCCGTGGATTTCCGCCAATCCTCGTGGATTTCCGCCAATCCCCGTGGATTTCCGCCAATCCCATCGTCTAATCCTTAAGTGTTTATTCGGGATGATTTATTCATTGAATAATATGCAATCGACAAAACTGCGTTAAAAAAAGTTACTATTCAATAATGCTCTTTTAGCGCAGTTTTATCGTCTTCTATCCGGAATGGAATCATCGCCTTCTATCTCAGGAATGGAATCATCCGGTGTTTTGCAGTCATAAACGGCGGAAGGATATCATTAAACGATTTGATCGGCAATAATTGTTCTCAGTTCCAAAAACATTCGAAATCTGTACAGCTTGATCATGGTGAATGGATGGATTGCACGATTATCTAAATAATTCTACTTTCGATTTATCTTTTTATTCTCCTGGGGGCTTGACCATACACACAACGCAGCGTCCGACACGTCGTAGATGTTGATTTCCCTTCAACGTTTCCTTTTCGGGGGTAAGTCGTTCTCTCTCTGTGGCCCCGGCTAACCAAAAACTAAATTTATCCGAGAAATAATGACACTGTCCTCGGCTAGTGCACTCTATAAATGGTCGTGTTGTAAATGTTTCTAGACAACTACCAGGACTGGAGAGGGATTGACCCCCGGCCGCGGATCCAATAGCATGCTGAAAAATAAATACAAATTAAACATACATTATGCAAGAGGTAAATCTGCCTATTGCAGGTATTTATTTTGGCCTGAAATGTTATCTAAATTATTAATTAGTCATTTATTAACACGGGAAGACCTTAATCAACTCTCGATGCCATCTTATGCGTCGGATTTTCACTCGATTTAAATCCGATCTACTGCTTAACGCTCATTGAAGATTAAATCCAAAAGTGGATAATCGAGACTATCGTACCGACTTTAGTAATGATAATCGATGTTAGGCCTAAAACTCAATCGCTAAAATCTCAGTTCAAAGAGGAGCAATTTTCAGCATATTCCCTTTACATTATCTAGTTTTTAATCATTTTAACTCTCTATCTAATCATCCATAATGTCCCTTTAACTTCATGTGAAATAATCAAATAAGCGTCGTGAAGTAAGAATGTATTCTCGAAAGAAAGAGTAAGCAAGCACTCTCCAATACATATTTTTGTTGATGCGCACCAAAGCTAGAAATGAATTTTGCCTGCTCTTCTTTAGTTAGAACGTCAATATGTACGCGAGTGGACGAACAAAGGTACACCTTCCAGGAACTAGACCAATATCGGCTCCTAGGTAAACTTCTCTCTGGGAGCCGAGATTGGAGCTAGACCAGACAAGTGGGGAATCGGGCTTGTAAAGATTGGAGCTTGACCTGACAAGTGAGGAATCGGGCTTGTAAAGATTGAAGCTTGACCTGACAAGTGAGGAATCGGGCTTTAAAAAAATCTCAAGGTTCTTCTCGGTCTATGCCCGGGATCTGAACCCGGGACACTCTCGTGGAGCTATATATGAGCTGAAGCTACATGGAAGGTAATTAAAGGTACCACAGATATAAGGAATAATGGGAAAACATAATGTCATCTACTTACCATAATAAAACTGTAGCCTGCCCACATGGGTGCCCAACCCTCCGGACAGAAGGGGACACGTGTGGTCATACTATGTACCGCTATCATGGGAGTTGGTGACTGACAGACGGCACACCGACTGACGTATCTGTACATCTCTTCTCCTCCGACCGGCATCATCGGCATATCGTAGTCGGTAGATAACCAGTAACTTGTTGCGGTCCGACTGGCATAATAACACGTATCGTGAATATTACAGAATAAAGTTGGCATCGGTGCGAAATGAGGCAGACATGATCCGGCTGCACCTGTAAACAAAATTATTTGTAAAGGAAGGATGGAAATCTCACACCAATCTGATTAAAACACAGATCCTATTTCGTTTCGTTTTTATATAGTTCAAAATTTCGTTTTCTTGTCTTCACTACACTAGGATCTGAAAGAGTTGTTATATAACCCGCGTTCTGGTTGGTGTGGGGGATTAGCCAATGAAACGATCTGTTGCAGCGAGTTCTCAGAATGCGATGCACGGAACTGTGGCTATCCTACTAGAAACATCAATGCTGATTGGCTAATCAAATGTCTGACGTCATAGGGTCAAAAGCCGCTCGTATGACACTACAACCAGCCAGATCTTCACGTGATTAGTAAGGGCCATGAAAAGTATAAACGAAACGAAATATAGACCTGTATTTTAATCAGATTGTAACTCACACCGCCCATTTTGGGACTAGCAAGTAGTTATGTTCTATTTAAAGGAACCGTGCTAGATATATTACATTGAATGGAATAGGTTTTATCACCCAATAATACATTCTGACACACTCCTCGCAGTGTTTCCTTTGATTAGACCTAACCCCATTCAAGCTAGAGAGGGATTTCTCGGGCCATTGCTTCAGGAATATGGCTATCTTATACTCCTGTACTACTTTGTTCAGCTCTGCTTTTTCACAGAAATACACACTTTTAGTTTCTTATGTGGGTGTGACAAGTTCCTAAATCTCAAATGTCTGGATAGCCATGTCTACATACGTTTCTACGTTATACTGGTAAAACCCAAATAGGAGCCAACGTGGCTAAGTAAGTGGGTAAGTCGCTGGCTCGCTAGCCTGGAGGTCGTGAGTTCGATCCCCGCATTAGCCGAAAAAGTTGACTGGGATTTTTCGACCTGATGAGAATAGCTGTCTAGTCGATCGGATGGAACGAAAACCCGAGATCCCGTGTATACATTGGCGTGCACGTAAAGATTCCTTGGCAGTTGGAATTCTATATAAGAGTATGCAATAGTGCCGCTGCCCGGGCAAAATTGCAGAACAATGAGACGTTAAACCCCCATTTCATTTCATTTCATATTAAATTAATATATGCGTGGCGATCCCTTTTCATTTGATTTCATTTCACCACACCAAATAGCGACCATTTATTTGTTGTGATTTGTGTTTAATCGTTGCGTCCATGGGTTTAATTCTTTAGAGCCCGGTGACCACATGGATTTCGAACCTGCCTAACGCACATATAGAGCATGCTATCATTGACTTACCTAAATCTTGTTCGTGAGCTTTGCCCTCTACCTCTGTATGTAATAAACTATAGCCCTGCCATAAGACAGGGTGTTTATTGTAACAACCTGTATCTCTCGGTGACTGACTGTGTCGAGCATAAACATACGCCGAGGGACCTGGTATACCTAAAAGCAAATAAAATAACAAGTGCTTAACCGACTGACTAAAAGAGCAAGCAAAAAGTGCGATGGAAACATCGAAATCCGAATCTGGAAACCCGATCTTGAAATTAATTTCTTTACCGCACGCACGTTTACACCCCAAGTTCTCCTCCTTTTTTACGACTTAATTTGTATGCTTACGATTAGAGATAGATAAAAACTGGTTGCTAGATAGGTACCTATACTATGTTACAGGTAGCAGGACGTTGTTACCGAATCTTGTTCGATGGCCGTATATAGCACCAGAGTGGAATTACGGCCACGAAATAATACATGAAATATATGGTAAGCTCAAACTAAACGCCAGGCTCAGTAACCTACTAACCTATGGGTTGTGCGGGGGGGGGGGGGCTACTTCCCCGAAATAATACATGAAATATATGATAAGCTCAAGCTAAACGCCACGTATAGTAACCTACTAACCTATGGGCCCTGGGGGTCCTATTTCACCGAAACCCGGTTCTCCCTGATCTCCTTTACGGCCTTCTCTTCCAATACCAGGTTCACCAGGACGTCCTGGTTCGCCAAAACCTGGTAGCCCATCTGGTCCGCGTGGTCCTCTTTCTCCTGGACGACCTTCCTCACCAGGAAATCCACGGGGTCCTTGAATTCCCAGACCAGGCTCACCAACTTCACCTGAAATACAACAGAAGAAAGAAATCAATGACTGGAGTTCAGTTCAATATATTTGGTGTATTCATACTAACTAGGGTTTTCAAAAATCCCGAAAATTCTTATCCCAGGGATTCGATGCTGGACGAATTGATGCATGAATCGAGCTATATAGACAACCATAATACAAACCGAGCATTCCGGTTCATAGACCTACCTGTTAGTATTGTATAACAGATGTGCTTGGATTTTACTGCCACTTGCCACTGTCATGTGTGCAGTTTCCTGGATAACGACATCCAAGAACTTAGAATCCTACCCAGCAACCTTGTTAAGCGCGGCTCCAGGGCTGCATTTGGCTTTTTGGGATGCAGACATTGGAGACATCGAGACAAATTAGATGAATCTGAAATCTCGGGATCACGAATCGGGAGAAAATCCGAATACTAAGTTTGTATTTTTGTTTTATTTCTATGATCACGTTTGCATGGCGATATTGACGAATTGATTCTATTATATGTGAAATACAGTGATTTATATACGTTTCTTACCCTTAGGTCCTTCAATGCCAAAACCTGCCTCTCCACGGGAACCCTTAATCCCAGGTAAACCGGGCAGACCTCGTTCACCATCTAAACCTGGTATACCCAGGTCTCCCCGTGGTCCTGTCTGTCCACGTGGTCCAACAATAGATTCACCCTTTTCCCCAGGATATCCTCTTGGTCCTGGTTCGCCAATTCCTGGTTCTCCCTGTTCTCCTCTTTGTCCCGGTAGACCCTGTAACCCATCTTGTCCAGGTCTCCCGTCACGTCCCGGAGAACCCTGAGGCCCAGGTTCTCCTGGCACACCATCAAAACCCGGCCTTCCCGACTCACCAGTTAAACCATCTAATCCGGGAGCCCCAGTCATACCAAGTTCTCCACGAGGACCCGGTGATCCAGGGCGTCCTACTGGTCCAGAATCACCTGGTACTCCAGGCAATCCATTGAGACCAGCGTTACCTATTTAAGAAAAAAAGAACAGAGAATAAGTTAATACATTGTCATGAATAATAATTCTACGATTAACATTATTCTTTTGTATCAACAATTCCATTAAGAAACTTTCCGATGTATTCAATGAAATTTGAAAATAATAAAGGATTTCAAAACCTACCTTTCTCTCCTTTTGCTCCCAATACAATTTCCCCACTAACTCCTGGTGGGCCTGGAACTCCAGGCTTGCCTCGAAATCCTGGTATACCTCTTTCTCCTTTACTACCCGACAATCCGTCGTCGCCGGTTGGTCCAACCGGACCTGGGTCACCACGGAGTCCAGGAAGCCCATCTATTCCTGGAGGCCCTGGAAGTCCTATCCCCGGCTCTCCTGGATCCCCTTTCACGCCTAATAAAGAAGTTCCCGGTGACCCCTTTGGACCCGTAAATCCCCGTGGTCCTATATCCCCGGGAGGTCCGGACAATCCTTCACGTCCATCAGATCCCGGAAAACCCCTTTCTCCTTTCTGTCCTGATGGCCCCTCAAGACCGGGAGGACCGACTGTTCCTGGCAGTCCATCTAATCCTGGTTGGCCGGTTTCTCCTGTATAACCACGAGGCCCCCTTTCTCCTGGTATGCCGTCATCACCTGGTAATCCAGGGAAGCCAGGGCCTCCTCTTGCTCCTGAAAATAGCATATGAATATCCGAATTAGCACACACACCAGGGACCGGTTCCTAGAGCACACGGACTGTAAAGCATTTCACACGCATATATGATATATATTATCGTGAATTATTTGTATGCCTGTACCGAATTGAGATAAAATCCTATCTTCGTACCATCACCATACTAACAAACTGAACACAAGGTTTGAGGGCGTGTTTTACTAGATTAGAACTAATGCCGCCTGAATATTTAGGGTTTAGGACAATAACGGGCTGTGACTTAAAACCTACCCTGGCATTTTTCGCTTACTAAGTTGATCCAATGGCACATAGCCTACCCTGCGATCGCATCCTATAATGAATGAACCAAATGCCCGTATGACGGGTTCTCACATGGTTTAGGAAAAAAACAACAAAAAAACATGCTATACATTTTGCTTTGCTAATTAGCGAGGTACTGCCGCCAATCTACCCTAAACGTTGCGTTCATCAAGATTTATCTTTAATCAAATGCTTAAAATCAACACACCTTTTGGTCCTGGTAATCCTTCTCCTTGAGGCCCGGGTAATCCAGGTAATCCATCCTCGCCTCTCGAACCAGGTATACCATCCCTGCCGGGACCACCGGGCTCTCCTGGAATTCCATCTCGTCCGGCTTCTCCTTTAATACCAATACCAGGTAACCCTCTAGGTCCTTCAGGTCCAGGTCTCCCAAAAGTTATACCAGTACTTGTAGCATCAGCTCCGGCTCGTCCGGGAAGACCAGGTTCTCCAGATTCTCCTTTTCTACCGGGCAATCCCTCTAAACCATCTCTCCCGGGATTTCCCTTCGGGCCAGGTAGCCCATCAAGGCCAGCAGGCCCTGGTCGACCGACACCTACTGGCCCAGGGGGACCCTGAGGACCTTGTCTACCCTGCAAACCCGGCAGACCTCGAACAGACTGTCCTTCCAAACCTCTCGGTCCCCGATCTCCTTTTGGACCAGGTTCCCCTGGGTACCCATCAAGTCCAGGACGCCCAACACCGAGGTCTCCTTTCAATCCGGGTAAACCAGTAATACCATCACGACCAGGGATACCCCGTTCACCAGGGTCACCCTTTAGACCGCGTTCTCCAAACACTGTTTCCCCTGGTTGTCCAGGTTGACCTGATGTACCCGGAAGACCCGTGAAACCCCGTTCTCCTTGCTCTCCTGGAAAACCTCTGGGTCCTGGTGGTCCCTGAAAGAAGATACCAAAAATGTACACACCTTCCATTTTATATTTGAGTTTCATCGCCGTATTAGTCTATAGTATATCTGTTCAGTATTCGTTATGTTCCTAATGTATGATGTTGGTTTACGTATTCATGTGAGCTATACAAAGTATAATAGCCCTACCGCTGACTAATTAACAAATTATGATTGTGTTGTGGCGTTCAATAACTATTCTGTTATTTATAGTACTAACATTATGTTGTGTTGTGGCGCTCAATAACTATTCTGTTGTTTGTGTTGTGGCGCCCAATAACTATTCTGTTATTTATAGTACTAACATTATGTTGTGTTGTGGCGCTCAATAACTATTCTGTTATTTATAGTACTAACATTATGTTGTTATTTATAGTACTAACTTTATGTTGTGCTGTGGCGCTCAAAAAATATTCTTTTATTTATAGTACTAACATTATGCTGTGTTGTGGCGCCCAAAAACTATTCTGGTATTTATAGTACTAACATTATGTTGTGTTGTGATGCTAAATAACTATTCTGGTATTTATTGTTATTTATATATACACGATTTGTATATAAATGTTAAAATGAATATTTGACCTACCATTTCACCTTCTCGACCAGCTACACCAATTCCTGTATAACCTTAAACACAAAACATTGACAACGTTGACAAAGTCAAACCAAAAATATAAAATAACCATTGATGTAATTAAGAATTAGGATGGATGTGTGATGTATGAAATACGCTACTTCATGTAGGCCAGTGTTGGACTAAGGCGAGTCTAAGGTTTTTTTTAAAATTAATTACATTCATTTGCTGAATGTGGGTGATAATGCATCTTTAATATATTCGTTTCATAAACAATACTTACCCCGTTCTCCTTTTTGTCCCTGTAAGAAAAGACATCAAAAAGTTGAATTATGACATTATTTGTATACTTAGATAGGGATTTACGTCCGCTACCATCTAGGGTGAAATATCGCTGAACAACTATCACCCATTGTAGCTATAAGTACCCTAGTGCATAAGTACGATAAAGTATACAAAATATATAATTGTTTTGAATGCTTAGACTGATAAGGGGAGATAACTGCAATTTGTTTGAGCCTTTCGGTCAACGTTCAACACAGACAGGTCACACACACTACCAATCTGTTTCACAGAGATCTTCTAATATCTCTGTAACAGGTGACTGTTTCGACACGTGACGTCACATCACGCTGCGTCAATCAATGGCTCAATAGCGCGTGCATTGTTTACATAAGACGTTACTCGGTTTTTCGTACCGTCCGAACGACTAGACAGCTGTCCTTCATTTTAAATTAATGTTTCTCTGTTCGTTTATCCGACTTGTCAATCAACACAACAACAGTGCAGGTGCAGATTGCGCTCGAACAGGAGCTATATAAAAGGGCACAATGCCGTGCAGATCGCACTCGAACAGGGGCTACGTGAAGAGGGCACACTGCAGCGCTTTGAGTAATAGGTTATGGGGTTTTTGCATGGAGAAAAGACATCACGAGGTTTCAATGCGGTTATCGTCAACAGTGTAAAGCATCGTGGCTCAGATATGCTAAAAACCGACTCTAGCATGTTCAACACATCCTATATTGGTTAATTAGAACTTGTTATGTTATAGTTACTGACCTTTTCACCTTCAGGTATAGCCCCTCCTTTCTGGATCCATTCTTGAATAAAACTGGCCCCTTCCACAGAGAATTGTCCTGATGAACCAGGAGGTCCAGGAGGACCCTAAAATGAGACAAAACTATTTCATGTAGCATGAAGCAAATCACAAAGAACGAAATACCATTTCAAATATATTCCATGGTAAAGATTCTAACTATATAAGAACGAACTACCTCGGAAATACAGAACCGACAGTTGAGAAAAATACTAAAACAGTTTTACAAGATACTATTGGGGAAGAAGAAGTTTTTATTGTAGATCATCTGCAGCAAATACTAAAACAATCGTCAAGGTTACTATAGGGGAAGACGTTTTTATTTTGGACAATCTACAAAGTTTAATGTTCTCGAAAATACTAATCTTCCCAAATTCTATACGGGAAAAAGTCTTTATTGTGAACCATTTGCAAAGTTTAATGTCGTTTATAAAGTTTATAAACCGTCTAGGTTTTTTTATGGGAAAAAACCAACACTGGAAGAATAACACGATACAGGTTTAAAGAAAAAACCCGACTGCCAGACCGCAAGTTATTCCCGGCATAAAATATACCCAAAAGATCAAAGCGATTTACCGTTATAGGTTTATAAGATTATAGAATGCACCTTTTAGTATTGTACCATTCTTCTCAAGCCCGATAAACAGACTTGCCATCTCCCCAAATCATGAAATTTACGTCGTGCTTCTTTAAAATGGGGCTGCCCCTAGAACTAGAAAACCAAACAAGTACTTACCCGAACAGATATTCCAGGAGGACCTCTAGGACCCTGTAAATAAAGGTATATTTTATTCCAGATGTGCAATTTAACTAATCAACAGAAATGAATATTATAGTAAGTAAATCCTTGATCCTTAGAATGTTTGTTGGTACTAAACGAAAATGCAAGGTCATCAGCTGTGTACACGAAAGTTAATCAGAACGAACTAGCCAATCTGGTTAAAACACAGATCCTATTTCGTTTCTTTTTATTATAGATCAAAATTTCGTTTTACTTGTCTTTACTATACTAGGTACTGGAAGAGTTGTTATATTACCAACGTTATGGTTGATGTGAGGGATTAGCCAATGAAACTGTCTGTTACGGCGAGTCTTTGACGTGCAATGCATGGAACTGTGGGTATGCCACCAGAAATATCAACGCGGATTGGTTAATCAAATATCTGACGTCATATGTAAAAATTCGCTCGTATGATCCCTGACACGACCTCCAACTACAACCGGTCAGATCTTCATGTAGTAGAGGCCATCGAAAAGTATAAAAAACGAAACGAAATACAGATCTGTATTTTAATCAGATTGAGAACTGGCATTTTGATAACTTTTTATGGACACTCAGTCGACCATGAGCACGTAGAGCATGGGTATTATTTTCTAAAGTTTTATATAAATAATGTATAATGTACAATCATAACCATAGAACGGTTGAAACCGTCTGGTAGATAATGATTAAACAGACTTACTGGTGAACCAGGTCTACCATGTCGTCCATCAAGTCCTTGGCTACCCTGTTAAAAGAATATACATCATTAGTTAGGCGTTTTACCAGTTATAAAACCGAGTATCACAGGTAGGTTGTTCTTAGGTTCACTTTACCGAAATAAATAAAATGAGCCGACTGTTGTCAGTAACCCGAAGGCCAAACCCAAACTAGAGAAAGCTAATTGCAAACTTTTGTGTTATGCTTTGGCCGCGCTCCGAAGGTTCTGTGGCAGTATGCACAGCGAATGCTGGCATTGGATGGGGCCCTGCTGGGCTCTTTGTTTTGCCTGCGCTGCTAATTGGCCTCGTAGGTATTTTTAGATTTTGCCGACAACGGATCTCCATTTTTCTGTCCCCGAGTATAATCTGATTATTCATTTCTTCTGAAGATTTAAAACCAAGTGACGAGCTGACAGAGATGATTGTATATGGATCTACCTACAATACCCCTTTTTAAATCAGGACCAGAGGATTGATTTTAAGCTTCTGTTCCTACCGAACATTGGCATTTACAATAGACGTTTAAATAATTGGATGAAATTAACTTACATTCAATCCATCACAACCAGGAAGACCACGAGGTCCCGATGGTCCAAGTTCACCATCTTGTCCCTAAAACAAATATGAACAACAAAAAAAATTAGATGAATAAAATCCGATTGAATCCTTTTGTTTAAACAATATTTATTTGCAATGTTTACAATTTTATAGCTGATGTGGGATACGAAAACAAGCAGGAAGATGCTTATAAATATCGCTTCCTGAATAAAAAGTTACATCAATTTTCAATTCCATTTAGCCGTACCATAATTTGTGCAGAGGACTGTTAATTTTCTTATACGATTTTATCACCTGAAAATAGAATCTTTACCGTATAGTACGTTAGTTTATTCTGAAACATGCCTGATTACTGCCCGTATAAAGGTGGTATTTTGCCTGGGAAGAAAATCTGATTGTTGCCCCAACATATGCTACTTTTGCCTGAAATTGCTCAATTTTTCGAACATGGCCGCTGTCTCTGGACCCCCTAGTTTTTAAATGGGGAGGGATGGGGTCGCGCACAATTGAGAGAACACGCCTATGATAATTTTAATATACTATGCATGAGATATGCCCATCATTCGGAATTATTAAAATTATCTCTAATAAAAAAAGTGAACTTACATTTTTTCCATTACTTCCTGCTAAACCAGGTAATCCAACTGGCCCCTATTGACGAAAATAAAGGATTTTAGTTGATACTAAACAGATTATGTTGCAGGTAATATTGACATTCGTGTTCGTGTTATACTTATGAAAAGGATATATTGACATAATTACTTACATTATTTAAAACTTAGTTGAACCATGTCCGTAACCTTTAAAGTTGACGCAAAGGACACTTTAATAATTGTTTTCAGCCATCAAAAATCCCAGACTCTCTCAAAACAGCTGGGAAAGGCGAGAATACATTTTATGAATACCATTCCACATCAAATAATTCCATTTGAAATGTCATTTCAGGACTAAAATGTATACTTTTATTTCAATGATTCGCTTGTGTGCAAGGATCTTTATCAACGAGAGGAGGAACTCGTGGTAATCTGTCGATGTAGTACGGGAAATCCTAACCACTGTCACGTAGCTTACACGTCTGGGACTGAAACCACATGGTTCGAACTTCGAACACGGCACGACTATAATACTTACACGATAGCCACGTGGTCCCATCTCACCATTAAAACCAGCTTCACCCTTCCCACCACGTGGTCCAACCATACCATCATCACCTCTGGGACCAGGTACACCTTGAGCTCCACGTGGTCCGATTGGTCCCTAAAATAAAAAACAAATGATAATGATAGTCTGGTGTGTTGATTAGGCGGGTCCGAATGAATGGGAGTGGGGTGGGGGCAGGGGCTGACTGGGATGCAGCCAGATACCCCCAATATTAAAGGGGTCCCCAGATTAATTCTAAAAGAAATTTGGTACCATACATAAATACGTCATTTATTACGTTGTAATTCTTTGGGCCAAATAAAACTATCTAACTGCTATACTGACGTACAGAAATGAAATGAAATGGGGTTTAACGTCCTACTGTTAGACCATTCGCCCTCTCCAATCTATACATGAAAATTTTGACTTTTGGCTTGTTGTGCTCCTGAAATTCGCATTGACCTTTAGTTGTGTTACCCTTCTGGACTTGATCATCAAGACACACGACAATGGGTTATATAGCACAATTAACTTACCGGTAGTCCCGATGGTCCAGGTACACCTTGCGACCCGGCTGGACCCTAAAATACACAAAAATCAAGCATATACATTATTAATATCTGAGGACGCCTATAGAGGGCAGACTTTATTTCTAATCTAACACCTAAGAGTAGCTTCAACTATAACCTTTTACTATGTAATATATTCTCTATAACTAATGTTTAATTATTTATCTACATCATAACATCTTAAGACGCTTAAACATACATTATGCAAGAGCTAAATTTGCCTATTGCAGGTCTTTCTTTAGACCTGAAATGTCATATAAACTATTAATTAAATATTTATTAACATGAAAAGACCATAATCAACTCTTGATGCCATCGGATACTCAAGATTTTAACTAGATTAGAACGGTTCGCCATTTAAAAATTTAATTTAAAAATTGAAAAGCGGGGCTAAGTACCGAATATACCAGTGCCCTGGTTAACACAGTGCACACATCTTGTCAAAACTACAAACAGTGATAACTTGGCTCAGAATGAGGAAATATTAAGTGGGAAATAACGGAATCTTACCAATTCGCCCTTTTCGCCATCATTTCCGACGTATCCAGTTTCACCCTTTTGACCTTTTAACCCAGGATGACCTTCAGGTCCAGTTGATCCTCTTCCTCCATCCATTCCGGGCTGACCCTTCATTCCTGTAAACCCCTAAAAATAATTTGGTAAGAATTAGAAATTTTTTAAAAACATTTCTGTATGTTACAATTACACCAAATTTAGCTAGAAGCCGTGGATAGGAAGAATGACTGATCTGTGGTCTACTATTAAATATTTTTGTACATTATGTCATTCCATACAAATAAAGCTAAAGGGGTTCTTTATTACTAGAGAGTATAATTGTGGTCTATAACTTCGTACATCGTACATCTTCACTAACGTGAACAGAAATGGGGTTTCACGTGCTACTTTTCTGCTTCGGCTGGGCTAATGAAGCTGGACTTACGCCATACAGTCAGAGGCGTAGCCGTGAAATATATTTGGGGGGGGGGGGGGTCGTAGCCGTGAAATATATTTGGGGGGGGGGGGAGGGTTCGTAGCCGTGAAATATATTTGGGGGGGGGGGGGCCGCAAATGAAATTATATAGAATGTTGACAGCCGATGTAGCGCGATAGGGAGAGTGTGGGAGGATCACTCTCCCACTGGGGGTGGGGGGGGGAGGAGGAGGGTACCCCCATAAAATTATTTAAAGTTTCAGTCTTCTGTAAACATCGTTTTGGCATATTTTACGGGGTTAAAACTAAAACATCACACCAATACAATGTTTATCATGTTTAAGTCAGGGGGTGCCGCATTCATATTTTTTCATGACTTACATATTGAATGTTTCGCTTGAATTATGAACAATACGACAAAGAGAGTTTAGTAGGGGAATTTTTATGAGGAGGATCCAAATGAAACAAAACTTGATCACATAACTTTAGTTTATCAGGATGCATATTTGACAATCACCTTGTTAACTACAATACTATATACATATACACATTGACAATTGACATTTACAAGAAAGTTGTATAGATATGTAAAGTATTTTGTACTTTTTGTGTATTATAAATGGATTTCAAAAAGTAAACATAAGTGTTTGTGTTTTAATTTGTACTTTGTTTTATATAGATAGAATCTTAACTAATCTTAATAGTTGTTGTAAATAAATAGGAGTTAGGCCCTACTATGTAAATTTGGAGGAGAGAAATTTGGGGAAAATTTGTCATTTGGCCCCAGGTCCATAGTAAGCGAGCTGTTTTAGGAGTGGCGCCTGTTTTAAATGACCCAGGGAGAGAGAGAGATGGGGTTTAACGTCCACTCGACACACACTAGGTCATTTCGGGACTAATATGGATCTATTTTATTTCAATAATTCGCTTGCACGTAGGGGTCTTTAGCAGTGGGAGGAAACCGGGGGGCCCGGAGAAAACCCACAAGGTTGGACAGGCAACCCTACTCCTTGTCACGTACAACCGGGGAATCGAAAGTTACATAATATATGGTAGTCTGTGAAAGTGGCGTGAATATCAACTGTTCACATTTCTTGTGGAGCAGCTATTATAAGGATATCGGCCTTTAAGGACATTCCCCAACACTCAGCAGCAATTATTTATTCATTAATTTATTTGTTATGGATTTAGTATCCACTGGATAATCAGGACAGAAGAAAACTTGCCTAGTCAGTTTATCCTGTCACCTATTTGTAAACCTGCTTCAAATATCTAAAGATTATTTTGTGAATGTAACTGGTTTTTTTTCTACTAATTACATCAATGTTGGTTTATCTTATTGACATAGTATATACAGCATGATTAAAGTGACAGTCACTGCTAGCAAACTCAAAAGCATGGTTAAAGTGACAGTCACTCCTAGCAAACTCGTCCGCAGTGGATCTTACTCTGCTGCGATACATCACAGGTGGAAGGCATGACAACAGGGACGCCTCCGAAATTAGGGAAAGGGTGTGTAACTGAATATTCTTCGTTGAATTAGTTTCTGATGATAGTTTGTCGTTATAAATAAAACAGAGAGAAATGGGGTTTAAAGTCCACTAGACACATACTAGGTCATTTCGGGACTAACATATAGTTCAATTGTATTTCAATAAGTCGCTTGCACGTACGCTTACGCGTACTGGTCTTTAGCAGTGGGAGGATATCGGATGACCCGGAGAAAACCCAAGAGGTTGGACAGGCGACCCTACTCCTTGTCTCGTACAACCACACCAGTTGACTCAATGACATACCTTATGATACAACGCGTACGGTCTAACCATTCGGCCATCAAGTCCCCGCTTGTCGTTATAACTACAATCGTAAGGATCACCCAAGATTAATTGCACCCGCGAGCTTAAACATGCAATCATCATCAAAACACACTGTGTAAATGTGTGTTGGCTATGACACGATAATGCGGGGGTGGGGGGGGGACACTTGACCCAAGTAATCTTTTCAAGATTGTTGGATACGATGTAGGAATGGGACGAGAAGACCAAAAAAGGTAAAATGAACAAGAAAAAAGATGACGTCCGCTCGTCTCAGAGTTGTCCAATAAAGCGTCAGTCCTACGACGACGAACATTTTTTCCTCGTTTAACGTTCTCGGTTAACCGAATGTAAAATCGTCTGCCTTCCAATTCAAATGATCCATGTTAATTCCGGCTATCCTGATTTTGATGAAATGAGATGTATATTTCTCTGTAGTTGTAGTGACCTCCCCTTTAATGTGGTATATCTATTAAAACGTACAGTCTCCGCCATCTGGAATACACGAGAACACTTGTACTCGAGAGTAAATTTGTACTCCCCGATTCTCAGAATATGTCTGCTCGATCAGCAAAGTTCAAACCAACTGTAATGTACCTGTACCAATCAGGTCCTCGTAGAGATATGTGGTGGTCGTGGTGTGAGGGCGGGGGTGGGGGTGGTGGGAGTTGATGGGAACGCCCCCCCCCCCCGCCAAAACACACACAACACTAGTAATTTGCAATGGTTCAATCATCAATTCATTTGCAATGTTTTAAACATCTGCAGCATTAAAATCGTCAAAAATAAAAGCCCAGGAATTTTCGGGAGATATATTACCACCCATTCCGCTTTAGCTGTCTACGACCCTGTTTTAATCTACATAAAGGGCAGCTGACACGTTCTAAATTGATCTCTGTATTATTCTATAAGAAGAGGAGCTGAATCGTTCAAAACTAAACTAAACAGTTTTTGAGTGATTTCGTCAAAATCGTTCTAAAATGATCTCACCAGTTATTGATCGATCTTGTCTAAAGCTTTCTAAAATGACCTAAACAGTTATTGAGCGATCTAAAGCGCTCTAAAAAATGACCTAAACAGTTACTGAACAATCCAAATCGTTCCAGTTATTGAGCAACCTCAAGCGTTTTAAAGCATTATTCTGTGGATTTTAAACCCGAATCCCGTCGACACTAATGACACAAAATATAAATACGTGGACGGGGTGGGGTGACGGCTGATTTTACACGACGAACAAGATTCCATGAGGCACAAAAACCCAAAGTTTGATTACAGGATTATAACTACGTGATATATATTTTTTTATTCAATTTGAGACGACCGCAAAATCTCAAGGGAGCGTATAAACTCTAACCCCATGACATAACGCGCGCCATTACATGTACGTCCGATTCACTTAGCCAATGAAATCGTCGAGAGATAGAGAGTTTTTTTTATTATTCTAGATATGTAAGTTTGTCGGAATGTATAGACTATTACAACGCACGCGGTAAATTCTAAATTAAGCGTTTCCTATTGTTCACCGTCACTTCACTAACACCCAACTTAATCCCTGGAATTTAGCTAAAACTATTGTTACGGTATTAAATTTAAATTCAACTTAAATAAAATAGTTTCCACGCACTTAATGCCTTCTATGAGTTACATTTATGCACATAAATGTTTTAATAATACTACTCAACTTGTGGGATGTTTGTTCCGCGGTAAATGTAATCGTAGGAGTTCGGGATTGTACGTGATATCAACTGACAAGATAGGGCATTGGCTTCTCGGCTAGAATGTCCCACGTTCACAGGTTTGGCACTGGCGGGACTGACAAGGGAAGTCTGCCTGGTCGTTCGGTGCATCTGCACCCGTCTACAAATTGGCGTACACGCAAAAGAAATGAAATGAAATGTGGTTTAACGTCCTACTGTTCTGCCATGCAGTGTGCTATAAGGGAAATTTTGCCCGGGCAGCGGCACTATGACCTACTGTAATATCGAATTCCAACTGCCAAGGGTTCTTTTACGTGCAAGTCAATGTGTTCACGGTTTTTCGTTCCACCCGAACGACTATACGTTGTCCCTTGTCAGGCCTTCTGTCTTGCACCATTGACATCGGTGAACTACGCCGGAAAATCCAGATGAACTTTCTCGGTCAACGCAGAGATCGAACACGGGACCTCCAGCTTAGCGTGCCAACGTCCTACTCACTGAGTCACAGTTTAACTTCCATAGAACGCTTTATTTTGCCTTAAAGTGATCAATATTCGACGCACAGCCGTAACTATTTTAATATTAAAATCTTACAGTTGTATCACAAGTGTGGCAAAGCTAGTTTCATTTTGTTGGTATTGTTTTATTTACAGTCTGTAGACGCCTAAATAGTCGAGACTAATAACAGCTATATTTAGATACTTTTTAGCTAGTCCGCCCTCTCCTCTGAAGAGGCTCTACTTTAAAGGGCTTGCGATCGGCCAATAGATCACTGGTGGCAGATAAATAACCGGGTTGTGGGTCCTGGGCAGCCATTGTAGCAAAATTCCCCACTTAAAAAAAACCGCTACACCATTCCGTGGCCGAAAACAGAAAATGAGCGCCACAAAAGATTTTTGAAAAGGGGGTGGTGGCTTGGGTACAAAATAATCAACGATTGATGTATTCAATGATTAGGGTAATAAACCAACACCAGAGACGGTCACTGACCTTTTGAATTTAAACTATTTAAAATATCCAAATACAAATAGGAGCTCCCAAAAATAGAAAATTAAAATGTCTACAATCTGAGAAGTTACTTTGAGGTGAATCACCTGATTAAAAATAAGGTGGTTTTTATTCTGAATAGATGACGAAGAGGTTTAAGATGCATGTCAGTCAATATAATTAAACTAAATGTTTATTCATTTTCGTTTATTTTCAC